CTCTAGTATGTAAATCAACCGAAGGCTACAGTGAAGAGCATAAACAGAAAAAATAGAAAAAATAAATTATCTTAAACAAAAATTAAAAACATATACCAATTCAATTTTGCGGAATAACCTTGTCCAGTAAGGCTGTAGAATTTTTAACCACCTTCAATGATCAACCAAAACAACAAAGCCCTAATTTGTAAAATCAAATAAAATTTTCATTAAATAGAGAAAAAGGAAAAAAAATTGAAACCCATGACTGAAAAGGAGAGAGATATACCCCAAATCACAAGATGATAGAGAGGGGATAGCGACGAGAGGCGCAGCTAACGGCGGAGGCGCGGCGAACTGACGAAGTGAAGGTGGCCGGCGGCGAACGGAGGCGTCGACGAGAGAAAAAAGAGAGCGGCGAACGGGGGAGTCGTCGAGAGGAGATGAGTGGCGGACGGCGCACGGGGTAGTCGACGCGAGGAGAGGATTTGACGAGAGGAGAGGAAGATGAGAAACCCTAACTATCGGGTGAAGAAAATTTTTAGTTATCGGGTCAGGCGGTTCTGAGAGAAAATAAATTTTGTTAAAAAAGTTTGGGCGCGAGTCCTTTACAAAACCGTCCCTTTAGCCTACTAATTTTTTTTTAAGTCTAATTCAAGGCCAACACTTTATTTTGGACTGTTGCCTTAGACTTTTTCGTGACGATTGTAACCGTCACACAACCGTTCCCTTAGGAGGCAAAGGGGACGGTTTTGAACCGTCCCCAAATAACCGTCCCCATATATCTATTTTGTGGTAGTGATAAGAGAGAGTATTCTTATATATACTTATATAAAAGAAAGCATACTTATATATACTTATACATATATATACTTATATAAGAGAGAGTATACTTATATATACTTATATAAGAGAGAGTATACTTATATATACTTATATACAAAGAGAGTATAATATATGTATATATATTTATATATACATATATTATACATATATACTAAGAGAGTATAATATATGTATATATATTTATATATACATATATTATACATATAAAAAAATAAAAAAGCCACTTTTTTAGGTTCCGGCCCGGGACCAAGAGAGGGGCCGGCCGGAGGCCGGGACTTCGCCCGGGATTCCGGGCCGCGGCCGGACGGTCGAGCACGGCGACGCGAGCGTTTTTTGGACACCCCTATATATAATGCAGGGCAATAGAAAGTTATTTTATAAATACAACGGTGATCCAACTCAATTATAGAAACTACAGAGGCAACATGCCACAATGTAGGACCTAAAAAGAGATCAAGACAAGTTTCTATATTCCTTTTCTAAAATGTAGGCCCTAAAATATGTTACAGATAGGCATTTAGCCTATATTTTATTGAAAAGAGAGACTGGGATGAAAAGAATGGCTTAAACACAATTTGGGTCAATATTCAGTATTTAAATTATAGTCCTTCACATTATGTTCCTTGCAAATACACTATTACTTATTTAAGATCTAGCTAGGCAAGATCTCCGCTTTAAATCGAATGTGAATGTACCATGCATTTTTTTTAAAGAAAATATAACAACTTTGAAAGTTCTCCAAAATCTAATGAATTTAATTTTATGAGTACTTTTTTTATATATATTTTACTGATACTAAGAGCATGTTTGAGAACTTTGGATTTCGCAGCAAAGTGCACATGAAAACATTTTGATCGTTTGCAAAACGTACTCTAGTCACGTGATCGAGGAAAGCAAACCATTGTCCTCGTGCGTGCATGGTTTCCAACCTCCCGCGGTTTTGGTCCCGGAGATCTCAACACCTGAATCCCAAAGCGAGTGGGTTTAATTAAGTACGGCCTTGGTCTTTTTTCAAAATTGGAAACGAACGAATTCTTATTCCAAAGACTAGTACTCGATCATGTCGTGTGATTTTGTCATCCTCTAGAATTTTTTTTTCAAAAAATGGTTATCGTGTCAGTAATCTAGTGACTGTTGTCCTTTTTAAATATATAATAAAGAAATATATGGCTTGGGCGCACCTTTCAAAGAATCTAGCTTGCTAACCCCTATGTGCTCCCAAATTAGGGGTGCTAAATCGTCTCCGTATCCGAGAAAATATCCGTCACCGTATCCGTTAGGATACGAATACGGTTACTCAAATCTATAACCGATAGGATATGGTTACGGATATGGTTATCCGTTAGGATACGAATACGGTTACTCAAATCTATAACCGATAGGATATGGTTACGGATATGGTTTTATAGTAAAATATCCGTATCCGTATCCGAAATATCCGAATACATACTAGTCATACTCTTACTATAGTTTCGATTCTTAGATTATGGATTTGTGGTTAATTTTGATGATCAAAATATCTAATCTTAACTTTTCAATTATAATGGACATATTAACAAACTCTTTTGTATCACATGAACTATGTTTTTCTCAATACTATCTAGTTTTCTCATATCTGTTTTGTATCTGCATGCATATCCGCTTATATATCCGCATGTATATCCGTATCCGTATTCGATTTTAGCGGATATGGTTATAATTTTTTCTTACCGAGGTATATCCGTATCCGTATCCGTATCCGAGATGGGTAAGCGGATATGGATATAATAAGCATCATATCCGAGCCGTATCCGGACCGAATGCACCCCTATCCCAAATGTTTGCTTGCATGTTATGTATGTATATTTTTTTGATGTAACGGCCCGGGCAAGGTCATCTCATATTGTTAAATTTCCCAATACCCCCTTGATCTTTTGAGAGTTCCCTGTAAAACCCCAAAAATTTTGTCCGCTGGACTGGGCGCGCGTTCCACAAACTCCCCTAAAACTTTCAATTTTCTTCACTATAAGTGGTTGGCGACTCTATTAACGACGCGTTCGGAGGATGTAAGGGGAAATTTTAAAATCTAGAAAAGTACAGAAGGTTTTTTGTTGAAAAGTAGTTCCAAATTTCAGAGGAGGGTTTTAACCATGGTTTGTCTGTAGAATTCTTTTACATATATAATTTGATGTCAGCGAATGAGCCCACCTTAAAGGATGCGGCTAAATTTTGAGAAATTTATATGCAAAATTTAAAATAATGCGTGTGTTTATTTCTCAAAGAAAATAATAATAATGCATGTTCAATTAAGCAAAAGTTTTTCTAGGGTGTCCTAGGCTGTACAAAGCATGCTCTAGTTTATAGGAGTCATGAGAAGAGAAGAAACATTAAGGGTTTATTAATACGGTTTTTTATAGAGTGTCCATACGCACTCTATAGAAAAACCGTTATTAATACCACCTAAGAAAATATACAACTTTCATGATAGAAATATCTCGAAATTTTTTAAAAATAAAGGACTATATACGGAATATCCTTTAGCATTATTTTTCTCTGGACGTTTAACGTCATTTCCACACCGCTGAACAAGACTTTGACGCGTATGGTCATAAAAAGTGTCGTTAGAATCTTAAAAAAGTTATTAAAGTGAGGATTGTCTCAATTGTCTGATGTTTCTCAAATTCAAACATGAGCTGACTCTATTCAACGAGTCTACGAAACTAGGCCGCGGTTCTGAACATTCTAAAACCAAGGTTTATTGGTTAGTAAAGTTCCACGGTTTTGATTTTAGGTATCGTTTGGCAAAGGTTTAAGTGAAGGGTTAAGAAGATTTAACCTGTTTTTAACCCGCAAAACGTAAAAAATCTATACAATGGTTAAAATGAGTTAACCCTTCATAATTTGTCAAACATAAAAAATATGAAGGATTAAGCTAACCCCTCTAGAAGGATTAAAATGAGTTAGCCCATCAAAATAAGGGGTTTACTAGTACTCCTATTTAGAATGATTAATAATTAACCCTTATAATTATAAAAAAATAGTCAAAATTCTTGTTATTCTTAAATACTAAAAATGATCATAATGACTAAAATAAAACTTATATAATGAGTTAATGATTTAGTCTTTCGGATTATCAAGTAGATTAATTATGTTAATCATTCACCTTAATCCTTCTTTCTTAACCCTTTACCAAACAGGATCTTATGTAATTAACTTCTAAGGTGCGATAATTATTTGTAGACAAACATTGACCCTAGAAATCCAATACCTTGGGCTCTTTGTATGCGGTTTTGGGTCCATTATGTTGGTACATGAGTCCATGAGCCATGCTGCTGTTTTATTGGTACAAAGGCCTTTTCTTGTTCATTGGAACCATATTTAAAAGTGGTTCAGTAGTGTATTTGATTTTTAATTTATATATGAGCTATCTTTATAATGTCTTTTATTGCAACTAACTATGTGGACTCACTTTTAAGTTAAAGTTTTTTTTACAGGTTTTCTATAATAATTAATTATCATATACTAAGTATATTAGAGAATTGATCTCTTAATGGAGGTTAGTTAAGATCAATTACTGAAAAGAATTAGCTAAAAAGTATATCCAAGTGGTTGTTTGCAAAAAAAAAAAGTTTTAAAGATGACTTATGTATAAATTAAAAGTAAAAAATGATTTATAGAATGACCATATCTGAAGACTGTTTCTGTCACAAAACCCTAACACAAAAGAAGAAATGAAAAAAAAAAGAAAAATTCTATCAAATGCAAACTGTTGAAAAGAAATAACAATACACCCTTTAGTTACCGCAAATTCATCTTCCTTCATTAGAGTACTAACAATATATTACAAAAAGTAATGCATTACTGAGAGACTATTGAAGTCTTCCATTAAAGCTTTGGCTTCCAAGTAAAATGTTAGGAATTATATTTTTCGAATACTTATTTCGACAAATTTATTAGTTTTTCTTATTAAGATATATAATTTAATCAATGAAGAATTCTTAATAACCTTGAATATGATTTAAGAGTCTTTAGATACTCAACTTCATATTCAGACATTGCTAGCAATGTAACTAGACCTTACTTCAAGCCCAAAATCAACTTGTTCATCTCAGATTGTGCATAAATTTGAAAGGCTTTTGATATAAATAAAGTCCCTCATACTAATAGAAAGAGCTGTAAAAAGTATAAAAATGACAGACCTAAAATCCAAATTCCTATATTCCCTCAACTCTCTTCAAAAAATTATGATGTTCTTGATTTAGTCACTGCACGTACAGCCCAAAGTTGCATAATTTAAGTTGCGCTACAATTTAGCTTCAAAAGAAATGCTATGCTAATTACCATTTAAAATCCAAAACTCATCAAGTACACACTCAAACATGGGCAAGGAAGGTAAATACTTCTAATATTCTACAATTAAACATGATAATTGTAGGGGGAAAAAAGATACGTAATTTTCTCATCCCCTTCTTTGCTTGGCACGTTTCCAAGTCTGATGACCCTTGTTCTTCCATTTCTCTACACCACCAGGACGATTTTTATTTTCAATCTCTTGAACCTTGCGCTTCCTGCAAGTATGATAACATATTAAACAAATAATCTTACAACACAATTTAGCGAAAAATATCATTAAGAAACTTTCGAATCTAACCATGCAGTTAAAACAAGCTAGTCATGAACATGCATGGTCTGGTGAGCTGATCTTATCATGTTTCAAAAATTGTGAAGCAAAGTAAACGTGTCTCACAAAGTTTAATTCATTTTTAAGATCACCGTGACCTGCTTAAGAAAATTCTAAACAAAATTTCATGTCTACATAAGCTTGTGTAAACACCTACTTATTTGGGTGCCATTAAAAGAAATATGTGCATAAATATGATGCTTTCTTATGAAAGAGGCAGGTAATCTCCTCATGATGACCAAGAATCCTGAGAGAACAATACAAAAGCAAGCACTCACTAAGAAATTATTACGAAGTCAATTCCAGTTGTGTCTTCTAACAAAAAAACTATGTTGCCCAACTTTTCAAATCAAATAGGCAGATATACGCGTTCCTCTTTTCTTCTCCGAAAAGTTTACAGGTATTCAGAAGTTCCATATTATTGCTTGAAAAATTAAATAAAATAAATAATCGTACTATCTCAGGAATGATGACATTTATTTCAAAACCAACCTGGCGTTTCTTAAGAGATGCATCTGAAGCAATTCGCCCGCCAATTTATTTGAAAGTTTTCTCCAGAAAAGCTTTATTAGGAAAAGTTTTCCTCTTAGGCCATTTGGTCACTGTGACTAGTATTCCATTTAATTGTGATCTATGCGCTTCATACAAATCACTTATGGCTGGTTTACCATTCAGGAAATAAGTCCACATAGACAGTAATTTACCACTTTTCTGATACAACACTTGAATTCAACTTTTACCCTCTGAAAATAATTGACTTCTAATTTCACAATATATATATGGTCTGCTTACATGGTCTGCAAAGTTCCATCTCTCATTCTTGGAATTTCTAGATGAGCTTCCTACATTTTGTATTAAAGTCTGAAAATGCCCATAAGAAAATAAGCAGAGATATCTTTTTTACCTGTTTAAGGAATTGCAGTTCAAAAGTCATTTAGATCCAACCAACCATAAGCAGTCGTAATTCCATTTACACAGATTTGCAGACAGTAGTGAACCAAAGTCCCTTCAGAAATCAGTTCCTAGCTAGTAGGAAACTTTTTTGATGGTTCACGTACAAGTTGATTCTGGCTGAAAAACAGTTCCTAGCATCCAAATGGACAATAGGTGTAACTGTTGCTTGAATCCTAGCACTGGAAAAATGACTTAACACAACAGATGTAACTGCCTCTAAACATATGTGCTGTGTCTGTGTCCTGCTCCAGGTTTTCATAAATCTTACTTCACTACCTTTCTGGAATTTACCCAGGCATCTTCAACTTCAAAAAAAAATCTTTTGAAGGCTATGCCCAGCCCATCGCTGAGAAACGAGGGAACATATGTAACAGGGTTCAGCGGGCCAAGGATCTATTTCCGATTTTTTTGCTCTTCTGATATCATCAACTTTTTAAAAAAAACTTTCTTGCTACTCTTGATGATAGTGAATTATCTATGTACTACAAGAGGATAAAAGGTGATCTCCTAGCAGTAAACTATCGAAAAAGAAATCTAAATATTAATTACTATTTATTGGATCCCTCCGGGCAAAAGTCCTTGCTACGACACCAAAACTCCGAAGTTAAGCTGAGGTCCCCACAGGACAAGCACCCTTTATATAAGTAGAAAACCAGACTCACACAGCAATGTCTACTTCTGTATACACTTTAAATTAATGGCCAATGGAAATTGAACCTAGATTGCTATGATAACATGTCAAGAGAAACAATTCCCCTGCCACTACACCAAAACTCCAGATTCATAGTGAGGGCAAAGGGTTGAAAGTTTATACTCAAACACCTCCTAAATGAAAATGAAGACAAAAAATTCTTCAGAGATTGCAAGTCTATTGGTCAAGATGGTGGGCAGTTGTTTCTAGAGACCTATGTAGCACGGACACGGATCCGACACGGCCATCCGACACGCCGACACGAGGCAAATCCTAAAAAATACATAGGATACGTGTGTTCGACACGTGTGTCCGACACGGACACGACACGACACGGCTTCATGTTATGCGTGTCAGTGCTTCATAGCTAGAGACTACAAAGGAGTTCATACTTTTTGCTACCCACTTTTATATTCAGTTCTTGTGCTCGGAGGACCTTAATGCCCTTTTATGAAATATGCATGTCCGTGGATGGGTATTGAGAATTTATTAGTTGAACCTTGTTAATTTTTTATTATTTAATATTGCAGAACTTGTAAAGCAGACTGCCTGGGTTAGATAGGAATCACAATTATATTTTAAGGTACTGGTTGGATTTATAGTCAGCTGACTTCTAGCTTACAGCTCACAAGAGCTGAGCCAATTTCCTGTCATTGATATCGATGATGACGAGCCTTCAATTCTAGACACTGATCTAAATGGTTTTCTTCTTGTTTTCATAACTCTGTTCTCTTATTTAATGATTGCTCTTTGGAGGATTACTCCAAAGGGGGTAACCCCACAATTTCCCTACTTGATCCTTAATGTTAGGAAAGAAAGTCTCGAGGGCCCAGCTGTGGCCCTAAAAGCTCTAGCCATAAAACCAGGGAAAGAAAAGGGAAAAGAAAAAAGAAAGATGAATCAGGGAACAAATGATACATTGAATGTGGCCTCATTTTTAACACAATGCCATACTTTGGTGCCAAAATATGAGAAGAATGAGAATTTATTGATATCAAACATACATGAAATGAGACGAGGTAAACATCAATTTGACCCTATGATATTTGCTATATAATCAAAGAATTGAGAAGTCATGGTAAAGATAAGTCCTGGGTTTTTATTAAGAAGATAAAAGGAGGAGGAAAACCTTGAGATGGTCCTGCAGAGGTTCTCTCACTTTTTTTTCAGTGGAAAAGTAGATAAGAAAGATTCACAAGGCCGAACCACAAATAGTTAGGAAATGCTTGATGAACAAAAACACATTACACATCTTGAGATGATGAAAATAGCACATTACTACGACTTTAGATGAATAAGAACACATGAGAAGAGTTTTATGTTTATCATACCTGTATGACTTAAGGGTTTGATCTGAGAGCAGCTCATCAGCCAATGTACCCTTCCTCTCTTTCTTAGTTAACCTACCGGAGAAGAACTCAGATACAGGTTCAACTACAGTGCCCATCTGAATAAATAGTAAGCAAAATAGTCAGTGATAGGAATATAACAGGTATAAGTTAATGATATAATATAACAGGTATAAGTTAATGATATATCAGTAAATTCTCAAACATGCTACTTGCCTGGAAATATTTGGGTAGTGCCTTAGACTTGTCTCCCTTCTTGAAGTGCTTTTTTGGATCAATGGCATTCCTTAACTGCAGAGAAGCCACAATTTTTAAGGCCAAGAGACTGATGAAAAGAAAACTAAGCAAACCGGATCATGCAAAATTCAATGTTCAGCGAAGTCCTAGAACTTCAAAGTTCAAGCTGAATTAGGAAATCATGTAAAGATAANGCCATAGCAGTTCAGCTTCCAACCTGAACATGCGAGAAAGAAAAGTTGGTTTCTCCTAACTGATATTTCAACTTCAGAGTTCCAATTTGTGCTTTTGCCTTTTAGATATATTTGAATATTCCTGATCTACATTTGAGTTTAGATAATATTTGTAAATTCTTGATTTGCATTACATCCTATTTTATTGCTCATAAATGTAACATTGCTTACCTTCCAACTACCAAAGTGTTCGCTTTATAATCACGATTGAGTAGCCATACTGATGCTTACTCCCCTAGTTGCTTCCAATAGAAAGTGGTAATTCCAAATCAAACAATTGAAATTTATCGAAATTCTTTTTGAGCTCAATCATCAAAGTTTAATTACTAGAACTAATATGGACCTTTTTGTAAAAGAAAAGAAAGAATGGAACATAATATTATCAATAAAATAATTTCAGAGCTTTCAATCTATACATCCCATAAATGATAAGAACATGTCGCTCCCCAGGATTTTGTAAACTAAACCAGAAACTGAAAGAAAGCTGCTTTGAGAAGAACACGCCACTCATCAGGGTATCGCAAACTACAACAGAAACGGAAAGAAAGTTACTTAGGGAGTGCTTACGACAACATGCCCCCAGCAACTTCCAATCTATTGCAAAGCTGAAACTGTGGTATTGTCTCTAAGCTAAAAAATGTAAAGGCCTCACATATATAATTATGACCCAGATAGTAAGAACTAAGAACATATCCAAATCACAAGCATAATTTTTAGATGGTATCATGGTAGACTGTCTATCTAACTATTATTTTTCGAAACCAGGAACAAAGATATTTCTCAAGCCATCATCAACATAAAAAGCATCAAAGCAGTCAATAAAGACCATTCCTTCATTTCTATAATTATACTTACAGGAAAACATCACATGTATGGAAGAGAGAAGAATTACGGTTCTTTATTATTTGTAATAACAGCTAGAGATTCATTAGTTAATTCTCCAAAAATGAGAGAGACAAATATCGCGAGCAATCCTCAATAGTTCATTCCACAAAGGTTTCCCCCTATAAAATCTGTGGCACGTTTGAATTATAAATCACTTATCCACAGATTCCACATAAGAAAAGCAGTAGAAGGGCACTCATGGGGTTTGCCCCTTAAACCCTTTGACCTAATGCATCCAGACCCATAAATGAAACATCTAGTGAATGGTAACCTCGTTGCATGCTTCAATAATAAAATTTTCTATACAACAATCAGCTAAACCCTAATATTTCTTCACTGCATCTGAAAATTGGGGTCTAAATGTAAATAGATTACACTACATGTAACATAATGTTTCAAAAATATCATATTCAAGGCTCATAACATAAAAGCTAAGCAAACTGCCTCAAAATTTATATAACACAAAAAAGAAAAAGAAAATATACCTTGAGAATCTCGAGATCCTTCTTCAACTCCGGAGTAATTGTAGGTGCAGGCATATCAAACCTGAAACACAAAATTCAATTAAAATTCAATCAGACATCGATCAGAAAACTCAAAGAAACAAATTCATTTTTCAGCATTCAACTCACCAACTCTTTCCAGTTGTATCCTTCACATTCTTCTTCATCAATTTGTTCAGCTTCCTCGGATCCCTCGGAGGCACAAACAATCCATCCACAAGTTGATCCTCAGATTTCCAAACAGAGCCATGCTGCGAGCTCTGAGCCTTTTCTGAGCTCTTTGTAGTTCCACTGGTTAAAGGAGGCAATTTTGGAGCCCACGAGAGCCCGATTGCTGATTTATCCGCCATTATTCTAATCAAAACGAAGAACAAACTAAAGGACTTGAGATTTTCTTCGCTTTTGGAGGTTTCACGAGTTAGGGAAAGTTATTATGAACGAAAAAGGAGTTTTTTAAAAATAATAAAAAATAAAAGACGGAGTTCTAGGGTTAAGGATAAATGACGGGAAAAGGGAACAATACCTTTGCCGGAGACGGAAAATCCCGAAGATTTTACAGGATGATTCCGGTAAATATCGGCGGCGACGGCGGGGTAGAGCACAGTTTTGGGCTGCGGGTAAAAGAAAAAACGGGAGCGTGGTAGGGTGGACGTAGGGGTGCATTCGGTTCGGATACGGTTTGAATATGACACTTATCATATCCATATCCGCTTTTTGAAAATGGATACGGATACGGTTCGGATATTCATCGGTAAGAAAAAGGCATTATCATATTCGCACTAAACGGAAACAGTTACGGTTCGGATATTAGAGTCGGATACGGATATGATACGGATATTAATCGTGTGTGTGTAATTTTAATAACTCGCAAATAACTAAAAATTAATATACTTGCAAGTTGCAAGCAAAAAAATCCAGAACATTGCTACACAGATTCAGATATGCACTCTCTCGTGGTATATAATTTTCAAAATTTGATATTACAAACTTACAGTTTCTCTATTTATTTGTGTGTTTGTAGGTATTGGGAATGGGGGTGGAATTGGCACTTAGGTATCAGTTGAAAATTTTTAGCACTAATTTTAGTACATTGTAGTTCCTAATTCCGAAGCAAGTTTTAGCTTATAACTTACTACTTTAATTCAAGGTTCATGTTCTCTAGAACTTCACAAAATTTAAGCTAAATCATTTGTCAAACAAACTAGGTCTTTTCTGTTTTCAGTCAATAAAGGATAGCAAATTAGGGCTTTTTATCAAATAAATTAGGGCTTTCCACTCAACGAAGGGCTATCGAATTAGGATTTTTTTTATGATACAGATTAGGCTTTTCATTCAACCAATTAGAGTTTCGAATTCACCTTAGTGTTAGAAGAAACCGAGGAGAGAATTTTCGGAGGTCGCTGTTGATGGTCGGTCGAGCTTGAAGGCGGAGGCTTGAAGTCGGTCGAGAGCGGAGCCTTGGAGACGGCTGAAGTCGAAGGCGGAGGCTTGGAGACGGCGGAGGGTGAAGGCGGAGGGCGGAGGGTGAAGGCGGAGGGCGGAGTCGAACGCTTGGAGACGGCTGCGGTCGAAGGTCGAAGGCGGAGGCTTTGAGATCGTCAATTTTAGGGCAGAAGAATTTTGATCTCTGAGAATTTTCATTTAATTTAAATCGGGTCGGGTAGAGGATAAGATGAGTTGTATATATAAAGACCCGACCCAACACCCGAGTATAAAAATTAGCTGAGTTATGCACATCGGGATATGATATATCCGGACCGTGTCCGCAACATCGACCCGAAAAGCGTATCCGAATGAAAACCCAAAACTAAAACCGAACCGAAACCGTATCCGGATGGTTGCAATCTTTTCTTACCATATCCGCTTTTTAAACGGATACAGTTGCAGTCGGTCCGGATATATCCGGATTGTTTTGCACCCCTGCCGTGGAAGTGTTTGGTTACGGCCTGGGTTTGGGAAAATATCTATCTTACCCAGTGTTAGGGTTAATTTTTATTCTAACTCCCGCGATTCATTTATGGGGTTTTTTAGCTATCAGTCCCTCAAAAGTCAAAAACTTGATTAATTTCACCTTAGTCTCTCACGGTTTTGAAATTGCTTTTTTATCCTTCAAATCCTATGGGGTCTTCTTGCAAGTTGGTCCCTTTGGAGTTTGTAATTAAATTTTAGATCAACTCTTAATCCAAACACCCTCAATACCAAATTACCTCTCATATTAGAGGTTGAATAAACTTTACAGGGGACATGATTGTTGGGAAGCTCAAAAATAGATTAGGGCAGTTTCTCCGGCCAGTAGAGAAGATGACCCAATGAATTTGGATTTTCTAAACTAGCATTTGGGATTTAACCTGGTGAGAAAGGGTCTAAAAACTTAACATAAGGGTAAAAATGGAAACACACCCTCAAAACGTTAGATTTGAGGGAATATTCCCTCCTAATTTAGCGCGAGTTAACTACAAGAACTAATTTGCAAGAATCCATAGGATTTGAGGGACTAATAACCAATTTCAGAGGTTTGAGGGACCAATATTGAATTATTAAAGATGTGAGGGACGGACAAATATAGAATTATTGTAGATATGAGGGACTCATATCCTAAAAACCTTGGGGGTGAATTTTACTAAACCTCCAAAAGTTTGGGCTTTAGCACTTCACCCCCAAACAAATTTTGAAACTTTCACTAAACTCTCGATAATTAAGTTTGGAAATTTCAGAAAACCCGCAAAAAGTTTCGACTTTTTCCTGTATGTTTTCAATGATCAGAAGTAGATCAAATTGAATTGGTAATCAAGAAGTATGTTAGTATCCCATTACCAGTAATAATCTGTCTAATTATAAACCTTAACAAGTCTTTCCTGATACACATTTTTTTGAGGGTACTTTCTTGAGAAACATGCACAGGGTGAATATCAAAAGCTTAAGCACGTGTGCTTAAACCTCCGTAAACCATATTCATCAAAATGCTTTTTACAGGAATCTTCATCTCTCTGCATTCAAGTTTCTGTGTGCGCAATTTTACAGTTGCAGGACAAATGCAATACAAAACCAACATCAAAAGGTAACTGATGAATGCGATGGCCTGCAGTATTTGAGTATTTGTGAAACTTCCTTTTGTCTCAGGGCATCTACTTAATACATTGCCTAAGCAATAAGGCACTGCCTCCTTCTCTTTTTCCTTTTTGGATCAGTAAATAAATTCCTCTGTCAAATAAAATGGATCCATCGAAACTGCAAGTATATGTTCACAACAATCGGTACAAGTTGATAAACAGTAGAAAACATAAATGCATTCTACAGGTTTTTTGCTGTAAAGTAAGATTTTCAATCACAAATCAAACTGTCAGCTTGGTAAAAGAGTTCCATCTTCATTTTTCTTCACATTTCTTCATAATCAAGTAAACAAGAGCAGTTACACCTTTCATTTCACTAGACCAAACACAAAAACTAGGGGATAAATGAAAGGTCCTCAAAGTAAAAAAAGAAACAAAGGTTACCTAGAAAAGCCCCCTAAACTCTTAACCAATGTGGACAAAAGAACAATGAAATACTCGTGCAAAAGCTTAAAGATCAATACAGGCAAAGTATCTAATGAACTGAACTAGTAAGTTATAGTGAGAGGTAAAAGCACAGGCCAATGATTAAAGTTTCAAATAGCTGATTCAAAATAAAGAAGAAAGCAAAGATATGAGGATCTTTGATACTTAAAAAGATCATAGAAGCTACTAGAGTGAAACAATATTGCTTCAAAATACAGCTACCTCATCCCCAAACCACTTTAATTCTAAGCTAACCCACCAGCGATTATTCATCTAATCCTACCTAAAAACAATAATAACTTTTACAAAACCATCCTTAATTGACAACAATACCCCCAAACGTGCAACTGTTTCTTTCTCTTTTGACCCTTTCAGGTGGGGAGATTTCAGGAATGAAAGAAATGAAAGAATGGAGATCAAGAAGAACATGCTTAAAAATTCATTTGAAGCTCTCTGATCAATGAACAAAATGCTGGAGGAGGAAGACATAAAAAGTGTTTTCATTCTGAGAGACAGGTTAAGTTACCTCGAGAAGGAGAATGAGAGCCTAAAACAAGAAGTCCTTCATCTAAAACGCCAGATCGTCTTACTTCAGGCTCAAGAATCCAATAAGAGATCAGTGCCAAAGACGAAGGTCAATACCTCTATCAACAACAATGGCTCGTCACAAGAAAAGCAAATCGTGGCAATCGAAAGCTCGTTCTCTAGACGTGAATTTCCTGTATCACTAGCAAAAACTAAGGATAGAATGTCGAGAGTGCCAAAACCACCACCAACACCTTCTAATTGTTTGCTTACAGAACAAATAGCAAGCGATAAGGAAGCAAAGCTACCACCTCCACCGCCACCGCCACCATCAAAACTGCGAGGCCTATCGAAGAATTCAGTGAAAAGGGTGCCAGAAGTAATAGATCTCTATCGAGCCATGACCAAAAGGGATAGTAAACAAGAACGAAGAACAGGTGGCCTAGGGATTCAAGTGGTTCAGAATGCTCGTGAAATGATTGGAGAAATTGAGAATCGATCTTCCTACTTGTCAGCTGTAAGTAACCAGTATCAAGAAGTTGTTCTTTCTATTAGGAATGGTTACCCTATCTTCATTTCAATAGATAATAATGTATGAATTAAAACATGTATCACAAAATTATTTTTCGGATTAATTGCCTATAGACCCCTGTGTTATCATAGTTTTGAATTTACTACCCTTGTGGCGTGCAAATAAACATATATCGCTCAGGTTATTGTTTTTTATGGGCTTATTTAATATATAATGCCCGAAACATGTATCGTCGATCAGTAGAAAATCAACCAGATAGGCAAAAACTAACCAAGGGCTCATTCACCAGATTAAGTCAGACGTGGAAACTCAGGGTGAATTCATCAATTTATTGAAAAATGAGGTGGAAAATGCATCCTTCAGAGAAATGAAAGATGTAGAAGCATTTGTGAAGTGGCTGGATGAAGAGCTCTCCTACTTGGTTGATGAGAGAGCAGTGCTCAAACACTTCCCTCAATGGCCAGAGAAGAAAGCAGATGCAATGAGAGAAGCAGCTTGTAGCTATCGAGATCTAAAGAATCTCGAATCCGAGGTTGCATCATTTCACGATGATTTGCACCAGTCTGTATATGTTTCTCTCAAATGCATACAAACTTTGCAAGATAAGTAAGTACGAGCATGAAAAAAAAAAGTTCACTTATGAACTACATAAGAAGTATTACATAATTTTTCTCTGTTTAGACTAGAGAGAAGTGTTCATAGCTTTGAAAGGGCGAGGGAGAGCGCAATGAGGAGGTATAGAAATTTCAAGATTCCTTGGGAGTGGATGCTCAATACTGGTATTATCAATCAAGTAAGCATATTTTAGGCCCCCCTGTACTATGTATATATCAAAGAAAATGTAGCATTTGAATGTGCATTCTCAGATTCTGTTGTATCCGCAGTTAAAATTGTGCTCGATGAAGTTAGCCAAATTACACATCAATCGGGTACTGACTGCAATAGAATTAAATGAGTCATCTGAGAATGAAGATCTAATGCTTCAGGGTGTTCGATTTGCTTTTCGTGTTCACCAGGTAAATCTCTGGCTATTAAACCATTTCACTTATATGAATGCTATTTCTGCATGCTAATCAATTGAACTATGGCTTTATTACAGTTTGTTGGTGGGTTCGATGAAGAGTGCAAGCATGCGTTCCAAGAACTCAAAAAAATTGGCGAGCAGTTTTGTTTATGATCTGAGAGCCATCTGAATTGTCTCTAAGAATGTTTAAAGATGTTCAAGTGAGACAAGAATGTATGAATAACTATCTATGATTATATTTGGGTATAAAACTTCAGTAGATCAATTCTGTTATGTTACTTTCCACACAACACTACGAACACATATACCTTCTCACATTAACCTGTAATTGTAGTTTCAAATAGTACCTGGCGTTGTCCTTTCCTGCAAATGAGTTTCAGAGTTCAGTCTGGTCTAGAAAATGTTTAAGTAGTTAATATCCATAGTTCTAAAACATGATATTTTGAATGAAAATTCATCAGTCTTGAGAATCAAATATTTTTCAGATACACTGAAGGGCGTGCACAAAGTTTTCAGGCAGTCGCTAGATGATGTTACTGCTTACTAGTGATTTTTTTTATATTAAAAAAATGTCCTATTTCTTACAGCTCAGACCGAATGATCTTATTTCTTTATAGGAGTGGTGTTAGGGGCACACCCCCTACCACACCACCAACCACACATCCCTCTCCCATCGCTACAGTAAACCAGGCCCCACATGGGATTTAAAAATTTTTAAAATCCCATGTGGGGCCCGGTTTACTGTAGCAATGGGAGAGGGGGGTGTGGTTGGTGGTGTGTTAGGGGGTGTGCCCCTAACATTATTTTTCTTTGTAGCAGCAAAAATCAAAACGTTTCCCTATTTTAAGCATTTTGACCGGTATTGTACTACAAGTGACATCCTTTACGGGAGCAAAAAACAGTAAACTATCGGCATGTTGTATTCTTCAGATATAACTACTTTATTTTTGTTGAATAGTAAGTTCCTAATATGTTTCCTAATTATTTTGGTAACAGGTTATTGGGATTCCTAATATGTTTTGGTAACAGGTTATTGGGATTCCTAATCTGTTTTGGTAATAGGATTTCTAATCTGTTTTGGTAACAAGTTATTAGAATTTCTAATCTGTTTTGATTTTGGTTTTAGAATTCATAGTATGCTTTTGGCTTTAGGATTTCTATATATATAGAAACACGTTTTAGGTTTCGGGAACAGCGAAGGGGATATTTTGAGCACAGAAAAGAGGTATTTTCTGAGCTATTGGTTTGGATTTTGTTTGGAGAGAATTAGAGTTTTGTTGGTGAGATTAATTAGTGAGTTTATGTAATTTTGTAATCTCAGTTTATATGTACTCTTCTTCTCTATTAGTGAAAACACCATCCCCTTCTTGCCTCGTGGACGTAGGCAACTTGCTGAATCACGTTAAAATTGGTTGTTTGAGTTTGTGCCGTTATTTTGCATTGTTTGGCCTTCTCTCGGCGTTTGTTTGATTTGGTCTCTCGAAGCACATCGGTTTGGTTTTGACTTCCGCTGTGCACACCAAGTGGTATCAGAGCCCACCAAGTGGTATCAGAGCTTGGGCTACGTTTGGGCTAATTGGAGGAGTAGATCGCTTTGGAAGTTCGTCTAGGGCTTTAGTTGGTGATAAATGTGGGATTTTTCCTATTTGTGGATCTCGTTTCCGTCGTGCGGGGTGAGATCTTTCGGAGGCTTTTGTTAGAGTTTTAATTAGAGGCAAAAAAAACTCTCATTTATTAGTTTGGATCTATTCTTCGTTTGTTCCGTATTGGTTTGTTGGTGCTTTGAGATAGATGGCCGAGAAAGAAGGAGTTGAGGCTGGGATATTGGATTATTGAGAAGTGCTTTGACCTGAATATTGAAGTCCTTTGAGCACATTGGTATGATCAATGAGACCGAGATGAAGTTTGGCACTTCTATTCGACGAATGAGAGGTCTTCTAGGTACTGTTCATTCAGGTATTTTAGGGATTTCCAAGGAGACATCATTGAGAGGTAATCAATATTTGATTTTCGTAGTTAGGGACTGTTCTAGGCATTGGTGGGTTGTAACCAGTCCCATTGGTGTAAAGTCCTAGAAGTCAACAACATATGGAGAAAGTGTATTGACAGAAAGGTGATCCATTGTTCTGATTTTGGTAGGGGTCCTTTATTGCATTTGTGTCGAGCTCACGGTAGTTTGAGATACATCATTGGAGAGGAAACATTGGGACAACGAGATGAGATGACATTTTTGATTGGTCGTTCCTTGCTGGAGGAGGATCGGTGTTGGTTGTCTAGCATTGGATTGCAGAGGAGTTTTGAAGCTTTGACATATTTGGGTCATCTTAGTTATAGGTTGTCAACTGCTACGTGTAAAGATTTTGGATATGATAGAGCTGCTTCAGATTTTGGATTGCGTCGGATATTTGGTTACCCAGTATTTGGTCACATCGAGGATGTGAGATTTGATCCGATTGCATATTTAGGATTCAGAGGCTCGTTTGGTTATCAGTTAGGAGACTCTGATTTTATTCTGAGTAGGTATGTCACTTTTTACTCTTAGCAGGTAGAGAGTATTTGATATGGGTGTATCTTCTCTTTAAAAAAGTGATCCTCATGGGAGCTTGAGGATAAGTGATTCTCATGATATCTTGAGAACAGTGATGTGAAGCGACACGACGGAGCACAGGATGGAGCGTGAAGCGAGTCGGAAGAACGAAGAATCAAAGATTTTAGTTCTCAGCCTGATGAGTCGACTAACGGGTTTATGAGTCGACTGACGGTTGATGAGTCGACTAACGGGTTGATGAGTTGACTCAAGAAAACACCTCCAGATAGCAGAAGAAAGTCGACTCATGAAAATCATGAGTCGACTCATGCAGGCCAGCACAGTTTGTGCACATTTTGAGTCGACCATGAGTCGACTGGTGATCATGAGTCGAATCATCTCAACCATGAGTCGACTCATCGAGGTTTTCTGGACAGACTTGGTTTCTGTTTTGAAGGAATTCTAGTTTGGTTTGGTTTTGGTTATTTACCAGATTACCACCACATTGTAAACCCTATAAATAGGGACTGTTTAGGGTTCTAAACAGGAGGATAAAGGTCAAGATGCAGATCTAAAAGGTTTTAGGTTTAAGTGAGATCCTGATCAAAAGGATTAGGGTTTAGATTGTGAGGATCTATGAGATCTTAGATCAGAGAGAGATTCTAATCGTTGTATTAGAGTTTAGAGAGGATTGAGAAGTTGTTCTCGATTCTAGTGAGATTGTGAGGGAGCGATTGTAATCTTTTGTTCTTCATAATCTAGAGAAGGTATTTTCCTTTGTCATATACTGAATTATGCTTGTGTTTCTGTCATCCTCTTCTTAACCCATCTTTGATAATTTTGCGATCAAAGGTGCTCGCACGGCAACTCGTATCAGTGTTGATCAGATCATTGGGATATCGTAGCAGGTGGAGAGTGATGCTATTCCACATTGGGTGGAGATTACTTCACATACTCGAGATCATACTGCATCGTTTGAGATTCCAGCTGAGATGACACGGTTTGGGGATCATATTGATGTGGATGCAAATGATGAGTTGGTTGATTTGAGTGCAGCTGGTGGACACAGTTTGGATTTGGCTATGGCCGTTAGTTCATCTCAGGTGGAGGTGTTTAGTTCGTTTCATTTTGGGCTCATTGGAAAAACTATCAGCTGCAGATTTGTTGGAGGCCATTTGGTGAACTACATGAGGGTTGATTCTTTGGGCAAGAGGATACGTAGACAGTCATTTTTTGATATAGCTGGTTTGGCGAGTTGATACCGACATTTGGAGTTTGTTCGCATTCTCGTTTGGGTCTTGACTTGTTATGGATTGAGTCCGTTGTCGTGGATTGTTTTACTTCATACTGGACGTAACAAGTGGGACATTTGGTTGGTATCGGTGTCGGCTCAGTTTTGGAAATACTTCGCCAAGATGAAGAATTGTTGAATAGCAAGTTCCTAATATGTTTCCTAATTTATTTTGGTAACAGGTTATTGGGATTCCTAATATGTTTTGGTAACAGGTTATTGGGATTCCTAATCTGTTTTGGTAACAGGATTCCTAATCTGTTTTTGTAACAAGTTATTAGGATTCCTAATCTATTTTGATTTTGGTTTTAGAATTCCTAGTATGCTTTTGGTTTTAGGATTCCTATATATATAGGAACACATTTTAGGTTTGGGGAGCAGCGAAGGGGGTATTTGGAGCACAGAAAAGAGGTATTTTCTGAGTTATTGGTTAGAGTTTTGTTTGGAGAAAATTAAAGCTTTGTTGGTGAGATTAATTAGTGAGTTTGTGTGATTTTGTAATCTTAATTTGTACTCTTCTTCTCTATTAGTGAAAACCCCATCCCCATTCGTGCCCCGTGGACGTAGGCAACTTTCTGAATCACGTTAAAATTGGTTGTTTGAGTTTGTGCCGTTATTTTGCATTGTTTGACCTTCTCTCGACGTTTGTTTGATTTGGTCTCTCGAAGCACATCGATTTGATTTTGACTTCCACCGCTCACAACAAGTGGTATCAGAGCACAACAAATTTGCCTTTACATCCCTTCTCCTTGGGGAAAAAAGTGGATTCACCAATCATTAAGATCATTTTTCCAAATTTTGTTTGTTCTCGAACCAAAAATGAGGTCGCAAAGATGAATGAACAGAGAGTAAAATCTACTAAGTCAATGAGTTATTCAGTAAACAAAAGTATCAATTTGACTGGTTCAGTAGTAATGCGCACATAAGATACATTGAGTACACAAGAACATCTCCCCACTGAAACTTGGACTTACTCAACAATATTAATTTGTTTAAAATCTGCTTAGAAATTCGTGGCCAACAAAATTCAAATCTAGATTATTGTAATAGAATATTAAAGATATTGCCACTACACCAAAACTCTGAAGAGTCCTGATGAGGATTGAGTTTTATAATTTTATATTCTAATAAGAAGAATGACATGCTCTTGTAAGACATCTTATCTTTATGCTAACAGACTTCATGCATAGGCATCTCTATGTTGCTTCTCAGTTATTTGCAGAATAAATGCAAGCAATTCCACTTGTCACGAGCACTAATGCCCTTATCATTCCCAATTTCACCATATATTCTTAGAGACCAGAAGATAAGTGAAAATATTCCTCTATCTTTCAAGTTGAATCCTTTCCATCAAATCTTTGTTACCTCTTTTGATCTTTTGCATAGTACTACACTTTGAGAATATTCATTTAATTTTGCTTTGTCATAAATCCACTAGCCATTTTGCACCACCAACTGATTCCCTTTGCATAGTCAGACGATCTTAACAAGAGGTCTCAATTGTACTTATCCCCCACAATCGACACTTCTATAAAAAAACGAAAAATAAAAATAAAAAGGGGTTTTGAGATATTAGCCCCTTAATCATTAGTATTTCGACATTAGTCCATTGAATCTTTATATTTGTCTCCATATTTGATATTAGTCCCCCGAATTACTTTAATATGACGGTATTAATCCCTCTAGTTAGTTGGTATTAAAAAGGGTAGGGAATAGTCCGTCTCCTTTAACTTTTTTCTTGGATGGAAAATTATAACTCGCCAACTTTCTCTTCCTTCTCTTTAGCCTCAAGGATCGTTGCCGCCCCCCTCTACCATTTCCCTCCTCTACTGGGCCTAGGCCGCCCAAGACAACTCTTTCCTCTTCTCCTCCTTCACCTTTCTTTCCCGCCTCATCCCTATCGTTATCAACATCCTTGCACGCAACACCGTCTCGATGTTGTCTCCTTCATTCACTCCCCAAAACACTTCGGCTCTAACGAGAGAGGTAGGTGATATTGTAATTGTTATACATTGAAATTTACCAAGCCTAATAAAACATAAAGAATAGTCGGCCGATTCACATACATCTGAGAGCACGACCATGGTGCAAATCAGCCAACCTATCTTATGGCTCAGATCCGAGATGAAAGACATAGTCAACCGGGGATTTGCCAGAAGCCCAAATCTGAGATGAAAGACGTTCCACACTTGGATCCGACTCTGGGCGTCTTGAGCAGGGGAACGACCTGTCAACTTCACATCACAGTTAATGCATGACTAGTCAGCCCCCACACTTCGCTGCCCAGTAACCATCAACATTAATGTGATGTCAATCATTATGACCTCTCGAGCCAAAGACTTCAAAGCTCCTTAGACCGCATCAGTTCTTCAGTAGCCTTATCTCTGTTGCAAGGGCGACTTGTCCGACCAGCTGGCGATACATGTAAAGCATGCTCTGACACACTACTGCACCAACCTAATGAAATTACCAATGTGCCCCGATAAATCCTCTATGAAAATGGTAACTTCCTCAGCATTAAGGTACATAATTTTACATGCAAAAAAGTCACAACAAAACTATACTCTAATTTTCTCTTCAAATTAATTTAGATCAGTCGTTGACTTGAGCGTTGGAGGTCACGCTGAAGGAAACAACATTTGGAGCCTCTAACCTCTGTTACATGTGTAGGAATTACAGCTCAAGACTCCCAACAAGAACGATCAGCCATCAAAAGAGGTTAAGGGACCCCAAGATCATAGTTACCCCTCTTAAACCACACATCAACTTTCTGACATCAACAGTAATTACTTCCCATAATTAGTCTTAGACTGAACCAAATTATGGTTTATGGTTTTCAATAATTAAGCTGATTGAATGATTAATATCGCTGTATTGAGGTGATTTCTGAGACTAATATCAAAATATGAAGATTTGGGGGACTAATATTAAAATACTAATACTTTAAGGGACTAAAATTTAAAACAAATGATGCAAGGGACTGGTATCTAAGAACACCCCCCTGAAAATCCAGCGTCCAAGTGACGCTCAAAATCGATCAAAAACCCCAAAACCCATCTCAATCTACTTTCTTTCAACGATCCTACACCAACCATCATCCCTTTCATCATCCTCAACACTCAATAAACAAAACCCAATCCCTATTTTCTCCTCATTTATCCTCTCTCTCTCTCTCTCTCTCTGTCTCTCGCAGCAATGGGAACGAACTCTTCCAAAAACTCAGAGAGCTCCCATGGCGGTGAGAGGCATCCCGATGGCGGCAGCCAACTTTACGTCTCTCTCAAGATGGAGAACTTCAATATCAAGAACAACGATCTCATCCCTCACGTCTACGGCTCTTCACCCGTCATCGGCTCTTGGGACTCCTCAAAGTCTCTCCCCATGGAGAAGGACTCTCCCTCTATGTGGGAGCTCAGCTTCGTCATCCCCTCAGACCACGGTAAAATCTCCAAAACCCATCTATAATCAGTCAAAATCTCATCTGGCTCCTGCTCAAAATTTGAACTTGCTGTCTACTTTTATCAGAAACATTGGATTTCAAGTTCTTGTTGAAGCCCAAGTACAGCAATGCGCCCTGTGTTGTTGAAGAGGGGCCTAATAGATTGCTGACTCGTGGAAATTTGGAAGGGGATGCGAGGATGGCGATGTTTAGGCCACTTGGGGATGAAGATTTGGTGGTGGAGAATAGGGTTTTCATTAAGGCCGATATTGTTTCTCCGTTTGATCTCGCGGCAAGTTGGAGGGCTTATAGAGAGAATTTTCAGCCTTCGACGGTTAGGGATATTCCGGATGTTAGTATAAATGCTGGTCCCGATGCTGGAAATGAGGTTTGAAGTGAATTTGGTTGAATTTTAATGCATGGATATTGTTCATTTGAAATGCATATTGAGAAAGTTTTGTTCTTGTGAATTGGCATGTTTCCTAGTGACATTTCCTTGTTTCCTTGATATAGATAATTGTTTATGTCAGAAATTTAATATGTGGTTTAGAGGAGGTTGAACTTGATTTTTGGGTCCCTTAGTCGCCTTTGATGGTTAATGTTTAGTTGAGGATCTTGATCTGTACTTTGCTACACAAGTAATGGAGGCTAGAGGCACCGGAGGTTGTTTCTTCCGACGTACCCACCGACGCTCAAGTTAGGAACTGTTTCTAATTAATCAGAAGAGAAAAACAGAGCAGTTTTGTTGACTTTTTGTACATGAATTTGCGTACCTCAGTTTGGTGAAAATCATCATTATTTATAAAAGAGTATATGGGGGCACTTCAGTAATTTTGGCTGAGTTTCTGCAGTTTCAGTTCAGACACTACACGTGCCAGCAATTAGTTGGTCGAGTCACCTTTGTATAGTGATGGGACTGTTGGAGTAAAGTCGTGCTAGAGGAGTTTTGAAGGTTCTAGCTCGAAAGGTCATTATGACTGATGCCGCATTAATTGTTGATGGCGACTGGATGGTGAAGTGCGGACGCCGACTATACATTCATTAAATGAAGTGTGACTTTTGATGATGCTTGTCAGGTCGTTCCATTGTACGAGACGTGATGCATTGGGTTTAAGAGGATAACGCTCTTCGTCTCGAAGTTGGATATCCAGCAAGGCTTGGGTCCGGAGCGTCTTTCATCTCGGATTTGGATCGCGAGGCGGGTCGGTCAGCTCATCACCCGGGTCGGGCTTATAGATGCTTTAGGAGTCGGCCATCTGGTTATTACATGGCTTTACTTATTAGGCTCAGTAATTTTCAGGGTATAACATTACCCCTTTTCACTCGGGCTCAGGAAGTCGAGTTTGAGAGAAAATAAACAAGACTTATGCTTGAACGTAGTCCACCATCGTTAGAAGATAGCTGTGATTTGACGTTTCTGACATTAGCGGAGATTGTGTGGCAGTTTGACAAAGTGGCGCCTCAGTTGACGAGATATCGCTTCGGTTTCCAAAAATGGTTAGTGCTTTCCCATAAACCGCGTCAACTATTTGTCTTTTGCCATGTGTCATCCCCTTTTGCTTATATATATTGCTCCTCTTCCTTCTTCTTACTTTGCATAAAACGCTAAAATCATTTTTCTACCGCTTGCGAGCGCATCTTCTTCTCTTGCCGAACTCTGATATCTCTTCTCCTGCTCCGATGGCTTCTAGTGCTCAACCTACTATGGTTTGCAATGAGGTCAGAATCACTTTACTATGCTCGTATCACCGGAAGATGCTTATGGGGTGCTTGGAATAGTATGCCCAGGATTTCAACATCCCTAACCCTTACACATTGTCGACTCTGTTTAGGGACCAGTCTATTTGTCATCACAGCGAGGGTCTGGCACCGTTGTACTGTCATCATCTTGAGTACGACATTTGCCTGCTGTTGCAACCCTTCCTTCAAAAGATCTTCCGGGCGTTATGTGTTGCACTAGCACAGTTGACATCAAACTCCATCACGTTTCTGGTGGCCTTCCTCGTCATCTGCCACCTAGTAGACGTCAGATCAACACAACGCTTGCTGGGTTGCTTGGTGTGCATCAAAAGACTGGCAAGAGGGAGGGTCATTTCTATCTGCAAACAATTGGCGATTGTCGGTTGGTGTCGAACATCCCTGAGATGAACAAAGGATGACGGGAGAAATCCTTCTTCGTCGTGGGTGTTGATCCGTTCTTGGCCTGTCCTTCATGGTTAGAGATTAAGGAGGGCCTACAGACAGCGAAGCTTTAGGACAAAGAATTGTGGGGCTTGGAGAAGATCCAAGCCTACAAGGGTAGTGGCGCTGGGAGAATTTGTTTGATATTGTTGTCCTCTGTATTGTCGATATATCCTTTGTCCCTGTTGCTGAAGAGAATTTAGCCTATCTGTGGTTCTGTCGGTTGACGAGCAACTGACGGAGGGGGTCTCATCCTAGTTCTCTTATGCGTGGGAAGCGACTTCGTGACGATTTAGAGATAGAGGATCTCCAGGTCTTGTGGTAGCAGTCTGTCACTGATATTGCCACCAAACTCAGTTTGAGCAAATCTCAGGCCAGAGGGTCTAAGAAGTGGAGGAAGGTGGTTTTCAAGGGGCGTCGCCGAGCTGAGAGTAACACGCGAGAGCTCCTCTCTGGGAGACGAGGCGATTGGTGATGCGCCTGGACAGATCGAAGTGGCGCCCGGCTTGGCTAGTGGGGTTACAGCCTCAGAATTTCCCACACTTCACCTGAGTTTATCGAAGTAGAGGGTGATTCTCCGCATCCGATTCCTGAGGAGGTAGGAGAGGATGCTATTTCTACCAGGGAGCTAACAGGTGATGAGGCTCCAGCTAGGGTCGGAGCTGAAGAGGTGCCGAATGGATTGGGAGTGGGGCTCGAGTCATGTAAGAGACCCGAAAAGGAGTCGACCATTGGGGATCCAGTTGCTGAGACGTACGAGCGGTCTACTTCCGGGTCCTTGGGTCTCTCGGCCGTCGTCCATGAGGGTCAATACAAGTGGCCATTTTCCCATCGTATCAACGATATTCACCCTCGTACTTGGGAGGGGATGCGAGTCGTTTTGATGGGCCCTAAGTCCCACCCTTGCTATGAGGGGGAGTCGGAAGAGTGTATTTTCATTCCTGAGCGGCGAATAGATGCTAGGGGGTCAGTCCTAGAGTTCCGAGTTGATCCGGACAAAGCGGTGGAGCTGTTCATTCTTCCTGTTGATAAGGCACTCATGTATGAGATTCTCAACGTCGGTCTTCACTACGCTTTTCGAAGCTACTTCACCTAAGGATTCCCTTGGAGTTGAGTCGTTTTGATGACTTGAAATCTACCAGGAACTCTTTTTCAAGCTCCAGGCCAAGATGAAGGCGTAAAAGAAAACTTGTGAAGTGGCCAAACTGGTGGCTGCTACTAAAGGCAACAAGCTCGACGAGCTCAAGAGGGGCCAAACCATAATAGAGCGAGAGCTGATCCACAAAGACGAGGAGCTAAAGGTGGCTGTGGTTGGTGCTCAGCTTCATGAGCCACAGCTAGCACAGGCCCAAGTTGAGGTGGAGAGCCTTAAGGAGGATGTTGACCATGTTCACCACGAGGCACATCTAGTGCCGGTGTGCGTTGTTGCGGTGGGGAAATAGTTTCCCTAACCTGCTTTTCCTACCCTCACTGTTGGTGCTCACTTTTCTTCGAGACGAACGACAGGTGATAGAGGAGGTTGAGCGAATAGATGCAGCTGAGATCGATGGATTTTTGTTGGCCAATTTATCTGACATAGTTGGAGCTGATCGCTTTTCATGATTTGGAATTAAAGAACAACCATTCCTCAAAAGGTGAAGAAGAGGCCTCACGGTGAGTGCCAAACTGTTTATATCAGAAATTTGATGTGTTTTAGGGTAGGTTAAAGTTTAAACTTGATTTATGGGTCCCTTAATTGCATTTGATCATTAATTTTCAGTTGGGGATCTTGATCTGTACTTTGCTACACAAGTAACAGAGGTTAGAAGCACCGGAGGTTGCTTTCTCCGATATGCTCTCCGACGCTCAAGCCAGTAGCTATTTCTAGTTAATCTGAAGAGAAAAACAGAGCATGGTCTTGTTATTTTTTTGTATATGAAATTGCTTAGCTTAGTTTGGTGGAAATCATCATTATTTATAGAGGCTTTATGGGGGGCACTTTGGTAATTTTTGCTGTGTGTGCAGTTCCAGTTCAAACACTAATTTACACGTGTTCGGCAATTGATTGGCCGAGTCTCCCTTGTACAATGATGAGACTGTTGGAGCAAAGGCGTGTCCGAGGAGCTTTGAAGACTTTGGCTCGAGAGGTCATATGACTGATGTCGCATTAATTGTGTTGATGGCAATTGGGCGGCGAAGTGTGAACGCCAACTATATAGTCATTAAATGTAGTGTGGCTTTTGATGACGTTTGTCAGGTGGTTCCATTGTTCGAGACGTGCTGCATTGGGTTCAAGTGGAGAGCGCCCTCCAGGCTTCATCTCGGAGTCAGATATCTAGCAGAGCTCTGGTCCAGAGCGTCTGATTTGGATCGCGGGGCATGTCGACTGCTTCATCACCTGGGTTGGTCTTGCAGATGCTTTAGGAGTCGGCCAGTTGGTTACCACATGGCTTCTCTTTTTAGGCTTAGTAATTTTCAGGGTATAACAGTAATCAATATGGTCATCTTATCATTTTCCCATTAAGAAAGGTTGAATTTGGAAGTAAAGCCATCTTTTGGAAAACGACTAAATTTTATAATTGACTTTTAAAAGTTGGTAGAAATTGTGAAGTGTACTTGTTACAAAATCTATCTGATATTATTTATTATGGCTTAGGACCTTGATTAGAGTCATTTACATATGATAATTCTGATGATACAATAATTTGAATAATCTGCCTCACTTATATTGTAGTCCCTTTAAGCGGGTGCGCAGAAGTTGAATGTAATTTTTGTTTCTTCAATACCCATTCTTGACAGTTTACTGTTTGGGTAATTTACAGAAAATCCCCTGAGGTTTGCATGCTTGGTAGAAAATCCTTTTAGGTTGTTAAAAAGTGACATTTTAGCCCCCTCTCTTCTAATTTCTTCAAAATTAACTTTGATGCAAAAGCTAATATCACAATTATATGTGCTCCCCAATAAACTATGATGATTAGTACATTCAATTAGTTTGTAATTGTTTGACTAGAAATAGGGAGTGTTTGTTTCTTTTTTTTTGGGGGGGGGGGTTAAATGTCACTTCTAAACCCTCAGGGGGATATTTTATTGATCATGTGAACCTCATGGGGATTTGCTGTAATTTATCCTTCCTGTTTTTATGTGGGTAATCTTTCTGAATGTGAAGAAGCTCACACTCATTAATTTTTTTCCTTCCGACAGAATGGTTCATCAGCTAGCATGGAGCTTGATTTAGAGCAATATCTAGTCCCATTACCGAGTTCTGCCAACTCTAGTTCTGTTTATGCAGCTAACTTGACGGAGACTCCAAGAGCATTTGGTCGTACTAGTGTTCTCTCAAAGACTGATGGCTTGACTAGTGGTTCACATGGTTCCACTAGTACTGCCGCTAGTTCCGTGGAGTATGCTTCTTCTAAAAAGGTTTTTACCCGGTTACCTTTCTCTCCTAGGACAAAGGATCCATTATATGGACTTATTTATCTTCTATTTCAATGGAAGATATATAAATTTTAACTCACATGTTCTTCAAATCAGTGAAGTGCTCTAGAGGTCATTTTACGATTTGTTAGGCAGCTACAATGAAATGCATAGTACTTATTTTATTAGTTCTGTCGCAGGATATGGAGGTTGTAGTCCCTGGTCCTTCAATAGTTTTTCCAGTTTCTGGTATGGTTGAATCCAAGTCAGTTGGCACATTTTCACCATTACAAAAGCAAGATGGTCAAAGAGGGCTTTTTGTTGATAGGGGCGTGGGCTCTCCTCGGCTTGTTAAATCAGCTAGTGCAAGTTTATTCAATAACGAGCTCAAATCCAAATCTGAAGCGAAGGTTTGCTACAATTTGACTTCACTTGTGATATTTATTGTTTTCTATTTTTTTCTTCTCTCTTGTCTGTTTCTATAGTAAAACTTGTTGGTCTTGCTATCTCCCTCCCTCATAGGTGAGAGCAATTTTGAGAATGTAACCTTTATCAGTGATTTGCTCATTAGAAGGGTGTCTTCTCTCTAGATCAGCACCACTGTGCACCTCATTGTCTGCATCATGTTCAGTAACTGAGATAAATAATCTGGTACTTGCATCTTTAATGGAGCCTATTGCTACTTCTCATTGAATGTCTTCCTCCTAGACAATCAATAGTTTTTCATACAACAGTTTTTTATACAATTCTTCTATTTCAGTTTGCATCTGATAAGGTCACTTAATTGTTTTTTTTTTGCTGCATTCAGATACTATTTAATTACAGTAGGGTCAGTTTTCCATCTGATATGTTATACTTAGAAGACTCCCTACTCATGGTTATGTTGTTTTCTTCATGTTATCTAATTGCTAGAAAGCCATGCCAGCAGCAGCTGGAGCTGTTGCAGCTGCTGCAGTAGCTGATCAGATGCTTGGACAAAAGGAGGACACCCGTCTGGCAATTGTTCTGGTAATATGCACTAGTAGTATAAAATTTCCACTTAGCCTTTTGCAGCCTAACGTACTATATTGTGCTTCCAATTTTTATTTGCTCCATACTAGTTTTTGAAAAACCTTTATTTGCTATGCAATAAAATTAAAATTGATAGAACTCCAATCAATAAAGTGACAATCAACTAAATTCCTTGGAGTGGTAGCCAGACTCTCATTTCAGCTTCCTAATACTTGATGCTTTATCATGTTTTTTTTTCATTATAGGTTGGGTTGCCAGCTCGAGGCAAAACTTTTACAGCAGCAAAGCTTACAAGGTATCTTAGGTGGCTAGGCCATGAAACCAAGCATTTCAATGTTGGAAAGGTGATGATCTACTAGTTTGTTCAGTCTTCCTGCATTAAAATTTAAAAGCAATGTGAAGGTGTTCCCTTGCTTCACTCTGACTATTGAATTACTTACCTGTTGCATGAAAATCTGGTTGACAGTATCGCCGTCTTAAGCATGGAACAAATCAGGTACTCTAGGATTCCATCTTTATTATTTTCCTATAATTCATGTCAAATCTTGTGATTACTAAATAATGGAACCATCAAGAGGACTGTTAGCATCAGTTTTATGTATGGTTTCATAGCTTACTCATGGTATCTCGTGAATAGGCATATAAAAAATATGTGCTAAATCATGAGACTAGAGAAGAGCGTTTGCCACATAGAAACTTAGTCTGTTCCTTGGTTGATTCTTGATAAAATCTTGGCGTAGGTCTTGTCTTCGGATTTCTTTAGTAAATAGTTCTCTTTACTACTCGATATTTCTTTATATTCGATGTAGTTGCTGGTCTTCTGAATGAATTTGCTATAGTACGTAGCCGGATGGCCTGCTTAGAAATCTGTGTACTGATAGTCTTAGTTAAACTAAGATTATGCCAGGCTCGTAAAGTGAGAATATTTGTATTCTGCTAGGACATGTGGCTTATCACAATTTTTGGAAACCAATGATTACGCTGGTTAAAAGTTGTATTGCTGTTTTTTTATTTTTATTTTTTTATATTATTTTTTGGGCATGAAGATGATTCTTGAACTAGTTTTGTGACTATCTGTGTGTCTAGTATAATGTCACAGTTAACTGAACCTTATTTTTTATTGTTATTGGTGCTCTGTGATTGGTTTGTGCAAATGGATTGGTTATTTGCTTTGTTGGGTTAAACTTACTGTTTGGCATCTACTACCTATTTCCTATTTATCTTCATACATTAATCTTCAAGTATTTAGCTTAGATTACTTCTCTTATCTTCTTTTTACAGTCTGCGGATTTCTTTCGAGCTGACAACCCCGAAGGAATGGAGGCACGAAATGAGGTGAATACTGGACTTGGCTAGTGATTCTCAAGATCTGTGCATCTTGATAATATTCTTCCATTTTTACTTCCATATATTCTATTTAATAACTTGAATTATTACTATGAAGAGTAGATGTTGGTATCTATACAAGTAAACTTGCATTATTTTATTCAACTAAATTAGACAACACTGTTGCTCAGAGAATTTTTTTTGAAGATATTCTTGCTGTTAGAATTTCATAGCTAAATTGTTTCTTTTCGCTGTTTTGAATTGCTTGTTCTTAGGTTGCGGCATTAGCAATGGATGATATGATATCGTGGATGCAGGAAGGAGGTCAGGTAAACTACTGCAGCTGTAGTATATGTGAACTGAACTGACCTTGTGATTCATTCGTTCTCGTTGGTTCATAGGTTGGTATATTTGATGCCACAAACAGCACCAGGAAAAGAAGAAATATGCTTATGAAAATGGCTGAAGGAAAGTGCAAGGTATCGTGTTTATATTACACGTCATCTGGTTGCTAAATGTAAACATTTAAGGATTGTTTAGCACCCTGTGCTCAAATTTCAGCATTTGTTGCATATTCTTGATGGCTTTGCAGCCTTACCATCATCTATGTTTTGTTCATAAAGTAATACAAAACAATTGTCCATGAATATGTTACAATTTGCTTTGCTCTGATAGTTTGATGTATGGTAAGGGACAGATGGAAGTATGATGTTGGATTTCTTCATTTTTGTCTGGAGTAGCTTCTGGATGTGTATTGATATCAGCTTTCAAGAAATATGTGGCTTGGGGGATAGTTTATATTTTAGGTATTATGAAATTTTTGGTGCTGGAAATTAGCAGTTTTTTCCCAGTACTAAAAGCAGATAACGGTGAACAGATATCATAGTTGAAGATGAATTTGCTATTTTAAGGGATCAAAATTTGACCATTTAATATTTTGATTGAACCCGTTGCAACATCTCAATGCAGTTAAAATGACTGGTAATGACATTTGCAATCTCTCTTGATGCTTGAGCTTTAAGATAACATGTTCAGGTGGCTTTTTTGTCTTTAAATTATAGAGTATATTCAGCCATAGCAAGCCTGTTCAGTTGCCTGCTATGAGTGTCACCATCGCAAGTATATGGATAATTGTATACTATAGTCGTCTTCTATTGATTGCGCGATATGAAATTTAACATTCAATCTTAAATTTCCAGTTCTTAATGCATCTATAACTTGTCCCTTTTGCAGATCATATTTCTGGAAACGATATGTAATGATGGACGGATAATCGAAAGAAATATACGTTTAAAAATCCAACAAAGTCCTGATTATGCTGAAGTGTAACTTATATGCTTGTGGTTTTGCACTCTTACAGCGCAGTGGTTTCATATCAGCCAACAAAGTCCTGATTATGCTGAAGTGTAACTTATATGCTATTGCAGGCCGGATTTCGAAGCTGGACTTGTGGATTTTAAAACACGGTTAACCAATTATGAAAAGGTACAAATCATCAAAATTTGTTTATCTACAGTTTGTACAATTTGGTTTTGCATGCTTTTTAATCTTACACCAAATTATACCCGCTTTTACAGGTTTATGAGCCGGTTGAAGAGGGTTCTTATATCAAAATGATTGATATGGTCAGTGGTCATGGTGGGCAAATACAGGTAAGTACTAAGCATGTTGTTGTTAGCGTTTTAATATGATTAAGAAAGCAATTTAAAATGCTTTCCTTTAGTTTAATGCATTGATGGATAATCGATGTTTTATCATTTACTGTTTGCAAGGGTATCTTTCTCTACTCTGTCTCAACTACTCCTTACTAGTGTTTTTCTAATTTTTCACTGCAACTATTTTAACTCCTTATATATGTATATGATGTACATGTATATGTGTGCATGTCTAAACTTCACTCTGCTGTTACCTTAACCATCTACTTTTCCATTTCAGGTCAACAACATCAGCGGATATCTTCCTGGTCGGATCGTCTTTTTCTTGGTACTTACCAGTAAATGCATAAATTCTTTCATCTTGGTCATTCTATATGGTTGGAGGGAGAGCCAAACACGCACTGAATAAAACTTATTACTTGAAAAGAAAGGAAATTGATACCCTGTTTATATGGCAAAAATAATAAAAATCTTAATTGTTCATGTAGTATTCTGGCTTGTAAGATATGAGGATGTGAGTGAGAGCCCTTTGTTTTAAGGCATTCCGAATGTCAAATATGCTCTCTATCTGCAGTTATCTCTTGCAATATGTGTACAGATTCTTGTATTTTCTTGTTTCTTATTTTTATTAAGTAACTGAAAGGAAACAGTTTATGCAATGCAATGCTTAAAAATTCCTTCAGCATCAAACGTTTCCCCCTTCCCTCCCCAAGCTGCTGTGCTTATTTTTAAAAGATAGCTAACTGTTAAATTTGAAGCCACTGGCAAGATGTTGCTTAACAATAAGTTCATTTTCAAGCTGCTGTGCTTATTTTTAAAAGATAGCTAACTGTTAAATTTGAAGCCACTGGCAAGATGTTGCTTAACAATAAGTTCATTTTCAAGCTGCTGTGCTTATTTTTAAAAGATAGCTAACTGTTAAATTTGAAGCCACTGGCAAGATGTTGCTTAACAATAAGTTCATTTTCAATGTTGGAATACTTCCATTGATATATAGATTATCTCTTCTGTATTCCATGGCAGGTCAATACCCATCTGACACCTCGGCCGATTCTGCTTACTCGACATGGCGAGAGTCGAGATAATGTCAGAGGAAGAATTGGGGGTGACTCAGTTTTGAGGTACATTCTGTCTTGAGTTGTCTTTTATACTTGAAATCTGAACTTTTTAACTCTTGAAAATGCATTTTCAGTATTTACTAGAATTGTATGTGGGTAGAGAGAAATTTTCTCGGTTCATGTTAAATTTTGAGGTTGAACTTTGTGATATTCTTGTAGAATTATCTACGAAAATTCTATCAAACATATAAAAACTTAGTGTTTACAACCCTAAGACCAGGAGTCTTATTTACCATCGAGGAGGAAATATTCCTACAATAGATAAAGTAACTATTTGCTGTGTTGGTTCCTTATTGTGACCTCTTATTTTGAACAGTGAAGCTGGGGAACTTTATCCCAAAAAGCTTGCCAACTTTGTAGAGAAGCGACTAAAATTTGAGAGGACTGCTTCTGTAAGAACATTAATTTTTATAAAGTATTATCTTTTTATATCTGTTGTGTCGATTTGGTTGAGCATTTATTTATGTTTTTGTATAGAATTATTACTTTTTTATGTTGATGGTTCCATATTTCTTATCTGTTTCCAGAACATATAATTTTCTGTAAGGCTCATGTTTATATAAGCCCTAATTATTAACTTCTTTCTATTTGCTAATTTTGTGATATCCTTCAAGGCCGTCATTGATCTTTAGCTTGAGCAGTCTATTTGTGAAAACAAGTTTCGGAAAGTATTAGGTTCAGATCTTAATCCTAATTATTGAGCGGTCATACGAGCTTTATATTTATATTCCTTGTGACTGATGCTTTAAGTGCATGCATGCTCATAAAATGTTGTATATTCTCATCTTAATAAATTTATTGTATATATAAAATTAGCCGTCGTTCTTTATTCTTTCATGGTTCAGATATGGACCAGTACTCTTCAGAGGTCAATAATAACTGCAAGCCCAATTGTTGGATTTCCAAAGGTTGGTTTAACTGATGTTTGCTAGCTATATGTAAGGGATCTCTTTGCCTCTGCTAATGCTACCAGTGGAGTTTGACTAATGCTAGTTTTATACCTTTAGATTCAATGGCGTGCTCTTGATGAGATAAATGCTGGTGTTTGTGATGGAATGACATATGAAGAAATAAAAAGAAACATGCCCGAAGAATATGAGTATGTATTGAAGTCACTCATATCATTCATTGGTTGATCTTATGCCAAGAAGAAAATTTTCCCTGATATCATTACTTTTGAAAGTTTATCAAGTTTAATGATCTTTCTTTAGATATCATGGCTAATAAAAATGTTTGAAAAATGAGTGTAAAAGTTATCTTCCCTTTTCTAAAAGTTTTGATAAAAAAATAAAACTAAAAAAACATATTGTGTCTATAACCCAGAAAATTTAGAATCTATCCAAACTTACACTCTTAAACAATTGATCATGTTGGATCTCACTCTCATCTTAGAGCGAATTTTACCTGCATCAATGAGCATCTGAAACTTACAAGATATGTCCTTTTATGCAGATCTCGCAAGAAAGATAAGCTGAGATATCGATATCCTCGGGGGGAATCATATCTTGATGTCATTCAGAGGTATCTTCTTTTATGGTCCCTATACAGTCCAATCACAAGTATATTTCACTTCTTTAATTTTGATATCAGTATGACATTTTCTTCGCTAAAACTTTATCCATCTTTTTGTGCAGATTGGAACCTGTAATTATTGAGCTCGAGCGACAACGTGCACCTGTTGTACGGTGTGATGCAGGCTGTATTGAGAGCATTATATGCATATTTTGCGGACAGACCATTGAGTGAAATTCCCCATATTGAGGTAAATCAGGAAAATGAAGACATCTCTCCATTTTTTTAGTTTTTCACCTGCAGCGGGTTGCCTTTAGTGATATTACATGAATAAATAATCTCCATTACTTCTTTGGACAATAATTGATCATTGTTCGTTATGTTTTATGTAGGTACCTCTACATACTGTAATTGAGATTCAGATGGGGGTCACTGGCGTACAAGAGAAAAGATACAAGCTTATGTGACTGAGCTCTTGCAAGCTACATGTAATATGATACCACACAGAGAAAGCTAGCAGCATAGATAAGCTGTTAATATCACTGTATGTTCCCAATTTAATACTCTATCATATTTCATTTATCAAATGTAACCTTGAGGAAATCACCTTCACTTCTATTGATAATAACTGATACAAATGCTATTTGTTCTTGGTATCGGAATAATCTGGTACCTTAGATTTTCAGTTTCTGATATGTATCATAAAGATCTCAGAATGTATACAATTAATCATTCATTAAAGAGGAAAGGTACAAGTTGTACATAGTATTGCAAAATAAAACACAATTTTGATTTGCTCATGCGAAACATGCATGTAGTTCATTTTACTTTATTTTTATATGTTGTATCCAGTTTCTGATTTCGATGAAGAAAACTCTTGTTATTTGTTGTGCTTATTTGATAAAAAAATCCCCCCCCCCTCCCCGAGTGCATCGACAACTTACTATGTACTGTTTCTCGTCCAATTCCGACTTACGGTTTGAAAGTTACGGCTTATTCTTCAATCCATGCTCAGCAGCTCGCCTACAGCTCGAAATTCGCCTGCAGTCTCAAATCCGCCTGCAGACCCCAAGTTTGCCTACGCATCTGAGCTCGCCTGCAGATCCAGTTCGCCTGCAAGCTCGCCTGCAGACCCAAGTCTGCCTGCAGTCCCAAACTCGCCTGCAGACTCAGCACCCCCCCCCCCTCCCCGAGTGCATCGACAACTTACTATGTACTGTTTTCTTAACAGAAGCTTTTTAAGGTTTCTAGCAGCTCTGAATCTATGTTGTTCTTAACAAAGTTCGGTACCATATTAACTCTTTTTTAAATAGTTTCGAGAAATTAGCGGGGCATGATATAGCTTGTCGAATATTCTGAAACAATTTGAGTAGCTCTTACATTAGGGAGTATGAGTTATTTGCTATTATCCATGAGGAAAGCTTGCTTTCTTATTAGTTTATCTTCTTCCCAAGGTATTCTGCTCTTTCTAAGTACTTGTCTGCATGTCAATGGATTAGCTTAGAATACACATCTGCAGGTTTGGAACCAGCGCTTTCTTCTACTCAATGTTTTGTGTGAACATTTACAGCATGGACTTCTACTGTTGGTGTTGATACTATTTATATAGATGAGAGGCTCCTTGCATTCTTCACATCTGAGGGGAGCTCAGGATTTTAGTTCTGATAAATTATTTGTAGGTTTATTTAGATGGGAGGCACTACAGACACACCCTCGGGCATACCTTGTTGGATAGTGGTTGTGGGGACCACGCCCACAAGTGAAAACCGTGTGAAAGCACGTGAACTTTGTTTCCCCTGACTCGCACAGATTACCACTTCTTTTTGAAAGCACGTGAACTTTGTTCAGAGGCCCACCCGATATGAAAGAGATATAAATGAACGCAGTGGTTCCTAGGGTTGGGTGCGGAAGCAGAGGGGACGTCTTTTTGCTGGCGGCTGGAGAAAAATCGCAAGCAGCAAAGAGCGTGCAAAGGCGGGTACAAAGAAAAACAAAGCGGCGGCTGCAGCAAAGAAAGAAAAATCTTAGGGATTTGTGAAGAGAGTTTTGTGCAGTCTCTTGTGTTTTCTTTTGTGAGAGATTAGAGAGTTAGTTTGAGGGTTTATTTTGTGAGATTGTAAACCTATTGTATTTTCTCTCTAATAGTAGATCCCCCCTCCTTGCCCCGTGGACGTAGGCAGTTTGCCGAACCACGTAAAATTGATTGTTTGAGTTTGTGGCCATTGTAATAGCTTGTAGGATCCCTCGACAGGTCAGTTCTAGAACTGATGAGAGGAAGAGCCGATATCTCATTTTGTTGAGATATCCGCTTCAGATTCTTGTCTCCTTGGTGAGACGGGAATTCTTATCGATCTTTCTCTCTTATTGTGCACCAGAAACTCTGCCGAAATTTCCGCTGCGCACAACAAGTGGTATCAGAGCCCAGATTCCAGATCTAGGGTTTGGTTGGAGGAGTAGATCAATTTGGAGGCTCGTTTAGGGCTTCGTTGGTGATAAAGGTGAGATCTTTTTATAAAGACTCTATCTTTCAGTTTTGGATCTATTCTTCGTTCGTTGGTGCGTAAGATGTCGGAGAAAGAAGGTGCTTCGGGTGTCGAGGGTGGTGCTTCTGGCGCGAAGACCATTCAGAGTTTGAATATCCACTCTATGAAGATAGATGTGGAGAAGTTTAATGGCACAAACAACTTTGGATTATGGAGATGCGAGGTTTTGGATGCGCTGAACGCGCAGAATTTGGAGGATACATTGGAGTTAGATGGCAAGCCAGATGAGATTGAAGAGAAGGTTTGGAAAAAGATGAATCGAACGGCGTGTGGTGCGAACGGCGTGTGGTGTGATTAGATCTTGTTTGACTCAAGATCTAAAATATGATGTGATGAATGAGACTTCTGCGAAGAAGATTTGGGAGATTATCGAAAGCAAGTATTTGACCAAGAGTGTGGAAAATCGCTTGCATTTGAAGAGGAGACTTTATCGTTTCCAGTTGAAGAAGGGAATCTCCATTAGAGATCACATGAACCACTACACAAAGCTTCTTGCGGATTTGGCGAATGTGGATGTCAAGATTGAAGATGAGGACAAGGCGTTGCTGTTGTTGAGTTCCTTGCCCGACGAGGAATATGAGACCTTCGTTCTTACTCTGATTAATGGGAAGGCATCACTTTCGTATAGTGAGGTCACCGCTGCACTTGTGAATTATCAGCTTCGAAAGAAGGATAAGGAGGCTTCGGTTGAGCCGGTAGCGGAGGCGTTGGTCGCAAGAGGGAAGGGTCCAAACCGAAAGAATTGGAAGTCACAGTCTAGAGTAGGAAAAGATCAGTGTGCTTGGTGCAAGGAGACTGGTCATTGGAAGAAAGACTGCCCAAAGCTCGACGAATGGATGAAGAATAAGCAGAAGGGAAAAGGGAAGCAACCATCATCAGAAGCAAACATCGTATCGGATGGTAATAATTCTGACTCTTCTATTTATTCGCTTTCTATCAGTCCTACAGATAGCTATTCGGAGGAATCTGAATGGATGTTGGATAGTGGTGCGACCTATCATGTGTGCCCTAGAAGGGAATGGTTCTCCAGTTTTGAGAAGCTGGTGGATAGTGGTGTGGTGTACATGGCTGATAACCGTGCATGCCAGATCCTTGGGATAGGAAGAATTCGCATAAAGATGTTTGACGGGACTGTTAGAGAGTTAAACGATGTGAGATATGTTCCTTCTTTGAGGAAGAACTTGATCTCGATTGGAGCTTTGGTTGGAGAGGGTCTGAAGGTTCGTGTTGAGGACATGGTTCTCGAGATTGCGAGAGACTCTCGTATTTTGATGAAGGGCGTCAGGAGAAATAACCTGTATTACTTGACTGGAGGTATAGTGACAGGTGGAGAGCTGGCGACTTCTGTTGATTCGACTAGACTGCGGCATTTGGGGCTTGGCCATTCCAGTATTGAGTCCTCGCATAGATTGAAAGAGGGTGCAAAGACCTGCAGTTCGAAGTCCAGTGAACATGTTGATGTGAGCAAGAAGACCGAGGTGAAGTGTGGCACCTCTATTCACCGTGCTAAGGGTCGTTCTGGAGGAGTTCACGTGGATGTTTGGGGGCCTTCCAAGGGAGCATCATTGGGAGGTAATAGAAGTTTGGTTTCCTTTGTTGGTGGCTGTTCTAGGCGTGTTTGGGTTGCAACCAAATCCCCTTTGGAGTCTCTAACAGATTGAAGAAGTGTGATATTGGCAGAAAGGTGAAGGTACTCCATTCTGGTGGGAGGTACAAGATGGACCTGTTTCTGCATTGGAGCCGAGCTCACGGTATTTCGAGACACTTCGTTGGAAAGGAAATGGACAGCTAGATAGGGTGACAAATTTGAAGAACCGTACCTTGCTGGAGGAGGATCGGTGTTTGATGTCAAGCAATGGTTTGCAGAAGAGTTTTTGGACAGAGGCTTCGACATATTTGGGTCATCCTATTAAAGAGTTGTCAACTGCTGTGATTGGAGGTAAAACTCCATTGGAAGATAGGTCTGGTAGTGTCACTTTGTATGAGGCTTCGATGAGGAAGCCAATTGACTCTCAGCAGGTGGAGAGTTTTGGACAGACCTTAGAGGTATCACAACGGGTGGAGAGTGATGCTACTCCATATTGGGTGGAGATTACTCCACATACTCCAGATCATACTGTATTATTTGGGATTCCAGCTGAGGTGACACAGCGTGGAAGTCATTTGGATTCGGATGCAGATGATGAGTTGGGTTTTGATTCGAGTGCAGCTGACAGACATAGTTTGGATACGGCCATTGGTTCGCCTCAGGTGGGGGTGTTTGAGGCCAATGGAGGTGCTATCAGCCGTAGAGTTGATGATATTGGTGAAGGGTTGCGAACTCTTCTAGTGGATTGAGGTCTTTGGAGGCCATTTGGGTGAACTACGTTCGGCTTGATTCCTTGGGCAAGAGGATACGTAGGCAGTCTTTAGATGCAACCGGGTTTGGAATTTTGATGGGGTGAGATCGATTTGGTGAGTTGATACCGATATTTGGAGAGTGTTTGCACTCTCATTTGGGTTCTCGACTTGTTATGGATTGAGTCTGTTGTCGTGAATTGTTTCACTTCGTACTGGACACAACAAATGAGACATTTGATATGATCGGTGTCGGCTCAGTTTTGAGAAAACTTCGCCGAGGTGGAGAATTGTTGGATAGTGGTTGTGGGGACCACGCCCACAAGTGAAAACCGTGTGAAAGCACGTGAACTTTGTTTCCCCTGACTCGCACAGATTACCACTTCTTTTTGAAAGCACGTGAACTTTGTTCAGAGGCCCACCCGATATGAAAGAGATATAAATGAACGCAGTGGTTCCTAGGGTTGGGTGCGGAAGCAGAGGGGACGTCTTTTTGCTGGCGGCTGGAGAAAAATCGCAAGCAGCAAAGAGCGTGCAAAGGCGGGTACAAGGAAAAACAAAGCGGCGGCTGCAGCAAAGAAAGAAAAATCTTAGGGATTTGTGAAGAGAGTTTTGTGCAGTCTCTTGTGTTTTCTTTTGTGAGAGATTAGAGAGTTAGTTTGAGGGTTTATTTTGTGAGATTGTAAACCTATTGTATTTTCTCTCTAATAGTAGATCCCCCCTCCTTGCCCCGTGAACGTAGGCAGTTTGCCGAACCACGTAAAATTGATTGTTTGAGTTTGTGGCCATTGTAATAGCTTGTAGGATCCCTCGACAGGTCAGTCCTAGAACTGATGAGAGGAAGAGCCGATATCTCACTTTGTTGAGATATCCGCTTCAGATTCTTGTCTCCTTGGTGAGACGGGAGTTCTTATCGATCTTTCTCTCTTATTGTGCACCAGAAACTCTGCCGAAATTTCCGCTGCGCACAACATACCTCCGGTCATACCCCTCCTCTAGCTACAGTGCAGGGGGTCCACTTGAGATTTTTTCAAGAATGTCAAGTGAGACCCCCTGCACTGTAAGGGGGAGGGTTTGGTGTGGCCTGAGGTGTGTATCATTTCATTTTTCTATTTAGATATTAGTCGCTGGTGTCTTCACTGATTCCGTAAAAGACCCTCAAATCTTTGGAAACTGGCTGACAGCCCCTCAAAATGGGTCCTACGTAAGTCATCTTGCCCCCGCCCCCCCCCCCCCCGCCTTCCTTCTAATAGAGTGTTATCTCTTTCCTTTAACTAACAAAATATTTAAAGAATTATATTAATTGGCAATATATTATATTCAGTTTACAATCAGTAGATTAATCTTTTGAGTCAAATGGTTATTGATATGATATCAGAGCATCAGATTTAGAAGCTCTGTAGTGAAATATTTGTCTTATTTACATTTTAGGGATTGTCAAAATTTAGCCTCATGCGACCCTCCTTTTGAAACAAAATTTTCTTCTTCTTATTTTATCATCATTTTCACATTCAGAAAAATCTAGCCATGGAGAGAAATTTCTCGTTTATAATCATCTAATGTTTAGTATTCAAAATCCTTGGGGAAAAACATCCACTTATCGGTTATTGTTAATCTCAAAGCTAAAATTTCACGTACCAAGCCAATGTAGAAACCTAGATTAACATATATAATATGGATTAAACATTTAAACCGTTATGCTTTGGTTAACAAAAATAAGATAAAATTGGGACCATCATTTAAAGTTGCAACGGGAATCGATCCACTTGAAAATCAATCAAACCAAAGGCAGACAAAAGTCACGGAATTGAAGGAAAGTTCGATCCCATCTTCTTCACTCACATAAAACCGGTGACTCGGAAATACTATTCAATAACTAACTAAATAAATAAATACATAAATGATAGAAGAGTAACCTCTAGTCTCCAAAGTCTAGGGAATTGTCCCATGAAAGCAATAATATTGGCATTAAATTAAAAGATTAAAAAGAGGGGGGAAAAAAGATGGTGCCGTCGCCTTCACGAGACTCTCACTTCCGGCTCATCTCCCACTAAAAGAGCAGAACAAAATGTAAGAAAATATGTGGATAATAAAATAAAAAAGCTATTTTGTGGTGTAGCTTTGCTACTGGGACCCAAAATATGGGACCAATAAGAGGGACAAGTGAGGTGTCCCCCTCCTATTGGATAATGAGTTGATCATCATTAATAATTACCAATTCATTATCCAATAGGAGGGGGACACCTCACTTGTCCCCCCTATTGGTCCCATATTTTGGGTCCTTGAGGAATTTTTCTTTGTGGTGAGGCCCTCCTAAATTATAATATTCTGATTGGAGACATGTTTGAAGCTTATGCATGCAAATATCAAATATATTACGAGAGATAAAGATGTTAGAGTTAGTTTTCTTGAGGTTTATTGAAACCTGAAAAAAAAATTAAAAAAAATCCTTATTTGAAATTTTCTTGACTTTAATATTACCAAGTGTTCCTATGTAACGCAAATATCCAGGTGGATTTTGGAAACTTCACATGCGCCTTCATTTAAAAGAGGACAAAGGAAGAGAGAGCCAAATGCTAACAACCTTCTAAACAAAAAGCCCCTACCTTGTTCTCTGGATTAGACCTCAGCGTAACATGCATATATAAAATTAACACAAACATTAAAAAAATGGTCCTTAGTCAAAACTTCCCCTAATTCCCTGCGCTATCTCCGACACTCCCCATACTCCCTGAAATAAAAACACCAGACGACCCTTCTTGCTTCTCCTTATATCACCGCGGTTCTGACTACTTCACTAAGTGGATCGAGGCAGAACCATTATGTCCAGTATTAACGTTCCTGACTATAGTCAGGATACTGGTATATACCCCTATAACGGTAAAGTCCTGCTCGCTGCCGTTGTTCTCCTCTCCGTTGTCATCCTCTTCGTTATCCTCCTCCATATCTACGCCCGTTGGTTCCTCAGGCGAAGGCCCGTCATCGCACACGTCGTCTCTGAACCACTTCACACGCTAGCTAGTACTCTTGCCGCTCGCAACTGGTATGTTGATGACGTGACAGTTTTCTCGAAAGGGCTAGACGCGAAAAGCGTTGCGTCTTTGCCCGTGTTTGTTTGCGAGGGGGGGAGAGAGGGGGAGGGGGGAGTTAGTTGAGTGCGTCGTGTGTTTGGGTGTGATGGAGGAGGGGGAAGAGGGCAGGGTTTTGCCCAGGTGTAAGCATGTTTTTCATGTTGAGTGCGTTGATGTTTGGCTGAGGTCTCGTTCAACTTGCCCGATTTGTCGAGCTCTGGTGATGGAGAAGGAGGAGGCGGTGGCGGTTGATGTGGTGGAGGAGGAGGCGGTGGTCGGAAATGAGGAGTCAGGGGGAATTAATGAAGTAACTGAGGGTAATGTGTCATGGGAATCATCGACATCGGCGTCATCATCATCGGCGTCATCTTCGTGCTCATCATCAATATCCTCCTCCTCCTCCTCCTCCTCCTCTTCTTTTAGTTGCTCTTTAAAGAGAATGGTAAGCAAAAGTAGATCAGAAAGTAGGGTGTTCCCATCAGCTGGGATTGTGTAAATTAAATTGGATGATCGATGGTGGCTCAATAACAATTTGTGAAAACGATATATATATTTTTTCCTTTCATTGGTTTATTTATGGTATCAATTTGTGGTTAATTCGTTGTTACTTCAATTTTCCTTGTCTGCTTTACTTCGCTAGGTTCCAACTTGAACATGTTTTAACTCGTGCAAGTTGTTCTAGTATTGAGCTGGCAGAACAAAGGAACTCTTCCAAATCCCATATCTGTGCTATTTTGTGGTTTGCTGCAATTTGAATTCCAATAAAATCTTGCTGATTTCGGATCCAAATATCTTATTTATTTATTTCATATGTTACGGGGGGAATTTTTGTGGGCGATTGAATTCTAAATCAATACAAATCTTATACCAGATAGCAAAGTTTGTGAACGTAATCATAAAATGTACAAGATCCAATGGAAAGAGTTACAAAAAAGTACTAGTTACATTCCATTTACGCTAATAACTTCAGAGTTTTTATATCTATACCGGTGATTCTAGGCTTGCAATTACAATTACATGGGCGACCCTGCAGCCAGGACAACGAGCAACTCTTGGAATTACCCGTGTAAATACAATACGTGACTTCAATGTTATGCTTACATACACGTAGACTCCAGGGTCACTAGTGCAAGTATACCTTACCTCAAGATACCGGCTTGTGATTAATCCTGCAAAGAACAACCAAAAGTGGACTAATCTGAACTCTTTGAGTTGAAATCTTCCTAGTAAATTGCAAATTAGATCGCGCTTACCATTCCATGAGCTTACAGCTCCTAAATTTACATTTCCAGTCCTAAATTTGCATTTTCAGAGTAATAAATTGCAGATAATAGCTTTCACCTTAGGAATTAAGGGGTGCTAATAAATTGCACTTACCCCTCCATCATTATTTTACTAGCATTTACCACTTCTGAATTTACCATTTTCAAAAGAATAAATTGCAGATAAACCCCATCTCCTTTATTGAGCTCTTCTACGGAGGGCTTGCGCGGTAAGCAGGCAAACTTGTGGGGGGTTTTTTCCATAATAATTCCCACAAAAGAATAACAAGGCGATGGTTCACCCCTGCAGCTGCAACCGAGATGGTAGGAAAACCGAGAACTGGCATTGCTGCTCGCCGGAGGAAGGGGATGGTCGGTGGTGGAAGGAGGCGGCGATGGCGGGAAGAGCCGACGACGGCCTTCGGCGGTGCTCGGGGTGTTAGGATTAGGGTTAGGGTTAGGGATTTGTGAGTTCTTGACGGCGGCGCCCTGCTTTGGATGCTGAGAGAACGTTTTGTATTGTCTTCATTGCTTCCGGATTCAGGTAAGGACTTCATTCAGTTGTTTATTTGTTCTTTTTGATTCTTTAGGGTTTCGGTTCGGTCGATTTCTTTTCAGTTTATTGCTTTAAGTCTGAGTAAGATCCCTTTTCGATTCACATTGTAGTTGTGAATGAAAACTATAATTGTTTGTCAAAGCAAGAATTGATGAGAAAATTGAATTTCAAATGAATTGCAAAAAAAAAATGGAAGATAAGAATGGAGAGAAATCTCCCACGAGCCTAGGAGCCAAATTATTTCATTCCATTCAATTTTAACAATTGCTAAATGCATATTTATAAAATAAAAAACAATTGCTAAGTACTACATTGGAATGCTATTCTGATCTGGGGGAAAAGAATCAACACTATCTAGTTCATACAATTTAGTTTGCTTTTATAATTTTACCAAGAGAATCATTTAAGTAGTCGCTTTTAGTCTGCTTTTTATAATTTTATAAAGCTAGCTACTTACTGATGAAAGAATCAATGAAAAACTTGTTGATCGTGAAAATGCCAAAATTGCATTTAGGTTCAGAAACTTTTTGAAGTAGTATATTTTGAGAAGACTTTTAATTAAGAGAACTTCTAGTCCACATGCAGAATCACCAAGACTTTACTTGGATTTAAATTCTTCTGTTCAATTTTTGTTTATCTAATCTTGTTTATGACATACATGCTGTATGTTAAATATTTTGGTCATCTTTCTCCTGTGGTAGGACTTGTGATATTTCTGATTACCAATGTTTTTTGGGTCTATTTGCAACCAAATATGCCATAATGTCTAACAAAATTATTACGATGGAATTTTCAGACTCCCTAGTCTCCATACAAGTTGTAGAGTAGAGGCCTAATTTCTATCCAAAGTTGAACGGCCAACATTATTTTCATGGCTAGCATTCTTTCAGTACAATGTTTAACTTCCATGGTCCTCTGTTGTATTATATAATTGATACAAAACTACGTCCAAATTCCAATCCAGGACTCCCAAGTCTTTAAGTCTTTTTTTTATTCTCTTTCCACGCCCTTCATTATTCTTTGAATTATAAAGAAAAAAGACATGTCCACTAAGTCTTCAAAGTCATGCAAGACTTGGTATGTGCACAAGTCTACCACCACAACATTTCAAAGTCATCGCCTGTTCAACTCTTCTTTCTTTCAAGTCCTTTTTTTTCCCAATTTTTATTTTATTTATTTATTGTTTTTTGCCCTCTCAAGTCCTCCTTTTCTTTCTTTGTTTTTTTTGGGGTCTCCTTTTGTATGATGCACTATTCACTTGATATGAGTGGGATTCAAATTTTTATTTTTTTATTTTTCCAATAAGCTAGCCAGGTAGAAAGAACCTATTTAGGGTCTAAAATCGATCTAGTACTTCTGTATTGAAAATGTTCACTGCAGAGCGAAGATATAGATATCAACTTCGACATGATCCTATCAGATTAAAGTTTTAATATGAGCTTGAATCGCACTCATATCATGTCTGCACTACTTGGTTGGCTCTCTAGTAAAAACTGATTTGTCAAAATAAAGATTGGGCCTTGTCTAATACTTGAAACCTATGTTAGTTTATGATAATCTAGCATGTTCAAAAGATTTTTCTGTAATTGAAGTACTTCTCTCCTGTAAAAATAGTTAACTTCCAACCATCTCCATAATCCTGATTTTTCGAGAGTACGTAGACATGACTTTCCAACATTCAGAGCCACAGAAAAGATTTCATCATAATTGCATTATTCACTACCGATGGACTAAGGGGGTGTTTGGTTACATTTCTATAAATTATAGGAAATGTTTTCCATCCCATTGATTTCCTTGTATTTCTTAAAAAAATTATAGGAAAAGTTTTGAGAAGTTAAAAAGTACAAATTTTCTTATTTTTTGGATTGTGCTTGTTTGGTTCAAAACAAGAAAATGAGAAATAACTTTTGGAAAAATAGCAACATTTCCTATAATTTATAGAAATGTAACCAAACACCACCAACTTTATAGAAAAGTGAGAACTTTGTAGAAAAGAGTTAATGAGTTTTATTATTTAAATAATGAATGCGTCAGATTTCCAAGAGATTTCCTCCCATTTTAGAAGGAAATCAATTTCCATAAAATTTGGTACTTTTCTGTACTTTACAGAAAACATTTCTGTAAAATTTTTTGGAGCCAAACACAGTTTATAGAAATGTATAGAAAACTCTTAATTACATAAATGTACTTTTGAGAAAACCTTTCTCAAAAACAATGCAACCAAACACCCCCTAAGTTTAATGAGTCCATGAAAGTCTTCAACACCACAAATATTTCAACATCTCAATCACCATACTCTGTCTATAATACATCTCCTGCTCCGCACACCGCCCTCCCTCTATGTACTCTTCCCTCCAATGAGTTCCCATCACCGCCCCCTCCTCCCCCTCCTCCTCTTACTTCTACTCTCCTACGCCGGTAACTCTACCGACCCCTCTCAATGCTCCTCCCTCCTAAACCTGAAACGATCCTTCAGCTCTGCAGACCTCGGCACGTGGAAGCCTGACACAGACTGCTGCGGGTGGGACGGCGTCCTCTGCGACCCAGTCTCGGGCCTGGTCGTCGCCCTCGACTTAAGCCACCGCGTCATCGCCGGTAAGCTCACCGCCGGTCTCTTTAATATCACCTCCCTTCGAAAGCTCAACCTTGCGTATAATGTGTTTGATGAAATTCCTATTCCGAATGAAATTGGGTCGCTTTTAAATTTGACCCATCTTAATTTATCAAACGCTGGGTTTGCTGGGCAAGTGCCCGTTGGGATTGCGAAGTTGACGAACTTGGTGTCGCTTGATTTGTCGACGATTTCCTTGGTTCAGAGTTCTCTTAGCCTTGTGAATCCTAATCTCGAAACTTTGATTGGGAATTTGAGTGAGTTGAGAGAGTTGAATCTTGATAGTGTAAACATTTCGGCAAATGGGCATCGGTGGGGCGCAGCGGTGGCGAAATCTACTCCGAAACTGACAGCTTTGAGCTTGACGAGCTGTTCGATCACTGGGCCTATTGATTCTTCACTCTCGAAGTTGAGCAATTTGTCGGTGGTTCGATTGGATCAGAATGAGTTGAATTGCGGTGTGCCTGATTTCTTCGGAAAGTTGTCTTCTTTGAGTGTGGTTAGTCTCAGTTTTTGTGGGCTTACTGGAATTTTCCCAAAGGATGTGTTTGTCTTGAAGAACTTGACAAATATTGACTTGTCGTATAATCTGATGCTTTCTGGGTCATTGCCAGATATCTTTAGTGACAGTAGGTTGAATAGTTTGGTGCTATCCGGGTCGAATTTTACTGGGTATTTGCCGAATTCTATAGGGAAGCTGAAATCTCTGACAAGAATGGATCTTTCCGATTGTGAATTTTCAGGAGTCATACCCTTTTCAGTAGGCAACTTAAGCCAAGTGGTTCATTTGGATCTATCGATGAATAATTTCACTGGTCCAATCCCTTCTCTTCTGCCACCAAGAGTGTCTGAGCTGATACTTTCACACAATAGGCTGACTGGTCCTATCCCTTCATCTATCGGAAAGCTTGAGCATGCAGTGAAGATTGATTTTTTGTTATAATTTTCTCTCTGGGAAAATCCCCGCATCTCTATTTGCTTTCCCATTGTTACAAGAAGTGCAATTGAGTATGAACCAACTTTTGGATGTTGAAGAATTAAAAAATGGATCATCTCACTTGGCAACTGTGGATTTGAGCAATAATCTATTGCAAGGAGAGATTCCAAGGTCAGTCTTTCAGCTCTCGGGGCTTAAAGTTCTTACCCTCGCATCGAATAATTTTAGTGGGACAGTCGAAGTTGATTGGTTTACCGCTCTTAGTAACCTCTCGAGTCTGGATCTATCAAATAATAGGATTTCGGTAGAGGATAAGGGTGGTAATGGTTCTATCCCCAAATTTGGCACGTTGATGTTAGCTACTTGCAATTTGACCAGGATTCCAAGTTTCTTAATGCATCAAGATCAGATGGGCATCTTAGACCTCTCAAACAATAAAATTCATGGTGCAATACCCAATTGGATATGGAATATTGGGAAGAATAGTCTGACGTATTTAAACCTCTCTTTCAACATGTTCACCTCTGTTGAAGGTCCTCTTCCAAAAGGTCCTCTTCCAAAATTCAAAAAGAATACAGCGATAACTCTTGATCTCCATTCGAACTTGCTCAAAGGGCCTATTCCACTTCCCCCAACAAATGCCATCATTCTTGATTACTCGAACAACAGCTTCTCGTCTTTTATTCCACCGGAACTCACCTCCTACCTTAATTTTACCATTTTCTTTTCACTTGCTCACAATAACATAACGGGAGAGATTCCACCATCAATTTGTAATGCAATCAATCTCCAAGTCCTTGATTTCTCTGACAACAATTTGAATGGTTTGATACCTCCATGTCTTTTGGAAAGTTATAATGAACTCGGAGTGCTAAACTTAGGAGAAAACCATCTTCGAGGAAGTATTCTTTGGAACATTAGTGAAGAATGTGGGTTAAGAACAATAAATTTGTAACAATTTCATTGGAAGGGAACGTACCTAAATAGTGACCAGAGTGCAGTGAGCTCGAGGTTCTGATCTTGGAAGCAATCACATAAATGGTCTTTTCCCTTTTGGCTTGAGAGCATTGGATTTCCCCCCTACGAGTTCTCATCGAATCAAATGAACTCCCAGGGGAAACTATTGGTACT